TTACTGAAACGTTTCATATCTCACACTATTTACAATCAGGCTGATTCATAATTCATTGAGATTCATAATCTTTATCATTCAGACCTAATTAGGGCACTACCGTATTTTTTTATTTTCAATACTTTTCCCTGAAATTATCCAATAATGATTTTATAACTAACTATCATCATTATTGCTGTTTGATTGAGCTGTTTAAGATATATATAGCTAAGTTCAACTAGAATAACATCTAATCTAGTCTGTTCAAAATGCTGTCTGCTGTCTGTCCAACATCATCAAAGGAGGAGCCAAAAGTAAACCTTGATAACATTCCTTCAATAATACAAAGTAATGTAATAAAGTAAAGTTCAAATAAACCTTCCTGGACTTATTGAATCTTGGATTAAAAAAAAACATCAAAACCCCAACATCCCCAGACATTTCCAGTCTACAGGACAGTCCAAGAGTCCAACACATGCTAAATGACACCAACGACTCAATGAAAACTATAAAAACAGATGTTTAGGAAATCGAAGACAGTCAAAATTTTATTACCCATAAATTCGACAGTATGGCAAATGAAAACAATGAACAAACAAAACAAAATCAATCCAGAATAAAATACCTGGAAAAGAATTATTTGACCTTGAAGGTAATCTGGACGATGCCCTAGAACGAATAGAAGACCATGAAAGACGCTCTTCAATTTCATGAGATCCCAATCTCATCCACAAAAACAACTGATGAGCTTGTGATACAAGCCTGCAAGCTCATCAACATACAAGTAAATATCCCCGACATCTCGATATTACATTGACTGCAGAGGAAAGACACTGGTTCTTGCCGGAGATTCAACACGTATCCACCACCCTTCGCGAAGTTTACCACCAAAAGGAAGCGAAACGAGATCATTAAAGATAGATCAAAAATGCGAGATGCCACAAAATCTGATGGACTAGATCCAACTAAAATGTTCATCAATTAAAATTTAACAGAAAATAATAAAGATTTGCTCTTCAAGGCAAGAATGTTAAAAAAATCAATCCGGATACAAACATCTATGGAGTACTGATAAAGAAAAATGACATTAGAACAAGAAAAACAATTCAGATCAATTATGAGGATGACCTCTCAAAAATCAAGTGATACCTTTGATATAATTTGCATACAATTGCATAATTTGCGTACACCTTTTGATAATGTATGTATACATATATATATTATATTTTCGCTTTCTTAATTCTTGTGAAACAAAATGCTATAGAAAGATTACTAACGAGTAATATTATTTTATAGTTACTACAAATTTTCATTATTTTCACAGGTTCGAATGAAACGTTTTTGACCTAGGGCTGTTGTTGTCGGGCTCGGCCGAGGATCGCGTCAAAGAAATGAACCAAATTTACTTTCGATTTTCATTGACGAGAATGTTTTTGTATGACGGAATGTGATTTTCTAGTTCAGTTTGATGTTTTTGATTCCCAAATTAAACAATAATCCGGAAAAAGTGTAAGAATGGACAGAATCACAACATATCATACACAAGATTGAGTTTTTCTTTTATTTTCGGTTATATATTAGTTAATATGATTCAAATTGCCAAAACAGTTTTATAGTAAAATATGTTTGTAATTTGTTTCAATTATTAACCAATTTTGTATCAAAATAAAAACGATATTTTATCTAAAAATTTGTGATTGATAAATCGATAATTATAAATCTTTGTGGAACTCTTCTGAAACTGACATTTCTTACAGATTAATTAAATTTAAACTATTCTGTTTTCTGAACATATTTATTACTGGAATACCAAGAGTAAAGATAAATAAATGTAACAGTAATTATAGTAGGATGTCTTAAGAATTTGGAGAACTCCTTTTTGAAAAAATTAATTTTCTAAACACGTTTCAATAACAACTGCAAATATGGCCATAAACCACGTAATAGGATGAGCTGTGAATAGTTGTGAGTTATTTGGGTTCTTGATATAAAACTAATAGTTGAAATAGGCCAATCAGTTAAAAGAAATTTATCGATTTCTTATTAAAAAATGTATTTAATTTACAAGAGAGGAAAAGTTCAATAAAACAAGGTTGTGAAAAATAGTTGCATGTTCAATTTTAAACAAAAACCCAAGGTCCAATACAAAAATTCTATAATAATCGACTCATTACTTTATCCATCTCGGGGTATACAGCATTGCAATTTTATATTCGCGTCGTCATTAGCGATGTAACAATGCTTGGCGTGATTGATAATTATTAGATTTACACATGATCCACATCCACACTGATCTTCAATTTCTTAACTGTGTTTAAAAACCAAAACCTTAATCGATTGAATTATTGAATTCAATTCTTACAAACAAGATGAAATACTCCTCGATAAAAGCTGTTTTCGGATCTATGATCTCATTTGCAATTGTTGGATGCATCAACGCCAGTTGTACCAACGATATATCAGGAGATACGTGGTGTAGACGCACTTCAACTATTCCTACAGGTAGATTCACGGATTATTATGAAGTTGGTGAAGTGTGGAATGATGGAGCATGTGTTGAATGTCGATACCATCCCGTAACTTACAGAGTATGTATTAATAATCATTGACTAGTATGGGAAACAAAGTCCATAACTACGCCCTATAGAGCGTTTTGTTATTATGGTATTGTTGTTAGTGTTCTTGTTGTTGTAGTTGTAAAAAATAGCTATTCTCTTCAACTACAGGACCAAAGGCTCGGAAATCTTGGGGGGTTTAAGATTGTTGTAGTCGCTAGAATTCTATTACTTTTATATTGTGTGGGCTCTATGGGATTCGTTTTCAATCTGAAATTATGTGTGATAACATCATCAAAATTAAAAAGTGCGCACCCATGCGTTGGTTTCATGTTCGCATTTCTGCGATCTGGTGGTCAGCGAAGTAGGATGGACAACTATTAAAGATTTGATACCTGTACGATTTTGTCTTGACTTTCGTGTTCTTAAATTTGGAAATTGTTCTCTTTTTTTCTTTTTTTTCTTTTTTTTTTGAGAAAGAGTAAAGCTTTAAAATTCCATTTTTTAACTTTTATACAGACTCATCTAAACTGTTCGCTACTCGTAGAAGATGGAAGGACTGGACCCGCTGAAGTTGAAACTTACTTTATAAATCTTGGCAACGTCTATCCAACATCATGTCCGTTCGCCTTCACCCAAGTTACTGACTTCAATAAACATCTCGCATCTCGACTGTCCTTAGTTTATCGATTTCTTGACACGGTTGCCACATCTTGCTGTAACAGGTGAGTAATTATACAATCTGATTTTCAATATTTTTGGTGAAGCGTAATCCCAGTGAAACATTCCAGGAGGGCAATCTGTGCAATAATTGTAAGGTTGTAAGAAGAATTATATAAAACTATATATATACATGAAAGCAGACAGAATACTAGCAAACAAAAATGGTCAAGTGTACGAGTTTAATAATCGTGGCAAATTTAATAGGTATTTGATTACAGTTAAACAATATATATACAAGAACATAGACTCATAGAACATAGAATTTGAAAGTAAATTTGCGGAACCCCTGGACTGTAAGGGAACCCTGGTTGAATGCCACTGATGAGTAAGGGGGTATAAGAACAAACGGGAATCTTCGTCTGTTCAAAATAACAAACCGACATTAAGTTTTTTTGTCTCCAAGTTCACGAATTTTGACTTTGGCCTCTAGCGGAAATTCTGATTCATACCTTGATGTCTTAATAGAACAGCTGTGAGCAGGCGAGAGAACGATCCAAGTACGTGGAATGACCTAACGTAAATTTGGCCTGTAAAACTAAGTAGCTTAATAAAATAGTAGCACACGTTTATAAAGTTTTTCCAATCCTGTTTTGTCGATACCTACTAACATATATCATTTATATATTTACAGCATGCAACCTGTCGTCGTACCAGACGAGTGTGAAGCAATACCTGACAATTTCGATCAATGCACATTCAAAATTGTTCTCAAATCTAACAGTAATTTAGCGTGCAATGGACCTATACTCACTCAAATTGAAGGAGACTGATCTCTGAGCGAAGAGTTGCGGGCGAACACTGAATTGGTTTTATATTTATTCAGTTGAAATTTTAATAAATATATTTGTGTGTAACAATATTTATTCGTTCTAATATTGATATATATAGTGCATGTGCTCTTTAACATTGTATCATTGTGATAACCAAGACTTTGAAACAATTAATTACCAGTGAGTTAAATATCGGAATAAAATGAAATTGAATTAACATTGATTTTATTTTTCAATATAGGGAATTTATATTTTAGTGTAGGATGGGAGTCATTAAACGCCTTAAGCCGAGGCACGAGCCATCCTAATCTCGAACCAGGTCCAAGTCTTAGCAAGTTTCGAGTCACAAGTCGAATCACTGAATTCACAAGTTGCGTCCGTAACCAAAGCATATTTCATAAACAACTATGAAAAGGATTAATATGAGTCCTATTTACACTACGGCAGTGGATCCCGAACCGCGGCCCGCGGGACAATTACGGCCCGAACCGGTATCCGGTATTAGAATTACATACGGAAGTATTCTAGTTATAAGTTAGTTATCTCCCGGCCCGCGAATATCCTTCCGCTTCTAATTTTTGTCCCCGATGAATCAACTTTGGGAACCACTGCACGAAGGCATGAAACGTCCCCTCTCTTGTCAGCCAACGTTATTTCGTTAAATTGAAGTGTATTTGACAAAATTTACACCGGTATTATATGTCCTATCACTAGTTATAGCCACAACAAGCTAGGGACTTTTCGACATTCTTCAAACGACATTGATCGACGGGGTAGATCGTACTTTACCGGTATTTTTTTCAAATGCCGACCTAAATTTCAAATGCGCCCTAAATTTTTTCCAAGTTTTAAGTCACGTCTCTCTGGTGGTAGATTGACACAAATCTTCTTACAATTCAAAAAAAATTCAAATGAATATCAGGACTTTTGGACACCCGGATCCTGTATATATATAGGAAAGGGGACCGAATAGTAAAGACAAATCGTGACACTTCTTAATTTTCAAAATATCTCATACCAACATAAGATATAATCGCTATTATTAGGAAAACCAGTGTTCCCAAAAAGATTTTAAATCGTCTGTGTAAATCCTCCATCAAGCCGCAATCGTGTTCCCATTTGTTGGCCAACAGTTTGTGAGTCATGTTAGCTTTAATGTTTTTCCTCGGGAAAGGTTTGTCCGGGATTTCTTGATTTAGAAAGTTGCACAATGGTTCCCAGCCATCTTTAACGTTATAGATTAAGAGTTTGTTGCTCGGGCATGTTGACTTAACATATAAATTGTGCTGTCGATATCTGGACCTGAGGATAAATATGGTATTTGTTAAACTTACGTGACAAAGTCGAAACAAATGGATCTAGAAAACGTTTCATCCATTTAACACGAACCTGCTCATAAAGAGCTTTTTCGTGTTAAATGGATGAAACGTTTTGTATAGTTAGACGCAATATTTAGACATTAAAGGGAAATGAAATTGATTGCCTGATTTCCAATTTCATGCTCGAATATATGGACAGAAACGTTACACGTCAGTACTGGTACGTTAAAGATTGAGAGCCGAGTTTGATGAAAAGAACAACGGACAAGCAATGGTCATCATGCAATATGTAATGACAAAATGTTCACCCACAATTGAATTAAAAAACCTAAATTTTCATTGAAATATCGGGTACTCCCGAAGTATGTGAACCAAGATGGCGGAACGTAGTATGTGTACTAGGTTTGGGTTAGGCCATAATTTCAAGTACAAATACTACGGGAGTCACTTGGATAGTCCCCGAACTCGTAATAGAACTGAAAAGAGAAAAAATGAAATAAAATTACGGCCCAACCCTAAACTGATACACATACTACGTTCCGTGTCCGCCATCTTGGTTCACATACTTCGGGAGTACCGAATATCGGGTCTAAAATATTTAGAAGACATCTGAGAATAAACTAAAAGTAATACCTTCAATCTACAAACATTTTACACATAATTGTTATCGGTATTAAAATGTTATGCTAAAATTATCTTCGGGGACATAATTTTTTTTATATCTCTCTGTTTAGGAATAAAGCAGCGAAAACCAACCTCAAGAAAGCTTCAATTGGTGTTCCATAAAAACGTTGAACTCCAAGACAAGCAATGAGAAATACGGAAGTTTGTTTTTCGAATCTGCGAAACACCGATCCCACGAGCAACTGATAGATTTTCATGAGTAATTCACTTTTTCTAAAAAAATAAATTAAATGTATCTCTCATTTCATCCCGCCTTGCTCACATTCTTTTTTTTCGACTCATACTCTCGCTGAGTATTCTCTTCATTTTTTCTCTCGTTTAACTTTTTCTTTATTTCTATCTATTCTCTCTTTTTTCTTATTCTATTAATAGTCTTGTTTTCTTTTCTCTAGGTCCGATCCATCTTTCGTCATGAAGATTGTCTACCCAGTGTAATACACCCTAAGTAATGTGGTGTGGATGTTTGAACCCAAAATTTGAACCTGCGATCTCATTTTAGTTGGGCCAAACGCTCTCAACAACTATGCCCTAGCGACTGTTTCAGTTTGCTCGGCAACACTTACTTGTTGCATTAAAAAAAATAAAAAATAAAAGAATCAGAAATTATTCACGGTGCGTATTGGTTTCCAACTTCATACTGGTTTTTGACGCTTTCATACCATTCGTCTTCGCTGGATCTAATCGTCAAAATCACCTGTTAAAAATATAGTTCTGTAATTTCGTTTTAAATTGGTCAACAAGCTTCATATATACCGAAAAAGTCTCAAACGCTTTTCTCCTTAATAGCACTCTGAAATCAATTCATGAAACGGCCAATGATAAGTATTATTGCGATCTTATATTGACAGACATTGAGTACACGAATATTTTTCGCCAACACTATGAAGTTCCATTTAGGGTTTTCCTATTAATCTCGGGGAGAAGAAAGGTGATAAGACGTCGTCTAATGCTGTCACTTCGATATGTATTTATTCTCATAAATACATTCTCATAGAATTCAGTATCTAACCCTAACCCTGTCATTGTTGGGTTAAGGTAATACTAAAATCACTGAGATCAAACAACCACCCATCCCTCATTTTGCTCACGTTTCAGTACCTACTTTAGCATCAGGAAATGCCTCCATGATTTGTTCCCACACTGCAACTGCTGGCCAGTCCATCACTGCATCAACATCTTCTAGACTTTGTTGATAATCTTCTGTCGTAACTGTGTTCTTGAGAATCTGGTCAACAAATATAAGCAATGCTGGGGTTCAAAAATTTTTCTAACTGTTTGTATCGAACGAACTCTTGTATCGAATTCAATTCCTGACAACCGATGAAATCGCATACCATATTGGCACCTGTAAATGCTATTTTTCTTTTCTAGCTGTACACTTACCTTGTCCCACAATTCCTTTTCGTGAAAAAATTGCTCGTACACATCATGCACATTATAACCAAGTATTCTTAACGCCTCAGCAATAGACTTTGTACCAGTTTTTTGAAGACCAGCGCATATAATCTTCATTGTGAAACTTAGATCAAAAGCGCATTTACAGCAGACAACAAAACAAGTCACTATATTTGATTAACTGAAACGAAGTTATATTATTGATTACGAACAGTGAATCATCGCACGGTCAACGCAATGCGAACTTTCAAACGAACTGGTCAGTCCACGCTTACTCACGCCGATGCCCGCAGCTAGGTATCAAAATATTATGCACACGTGATCTATTGATCTATTTAACTTGTGCAGCTACGGTCATTTTTCAGCGTAGTATTCTTGACAGCCGCGAGCATGGTATTAATTGTAAATCCTTCACAATCTCGAGCCCCCAGTTAAATGGTTGAATATAGGTTTCTGTTTTGCGCCCTTTGATACACTTCATGACACTTCTATAGCTATGGCTTGATTAAATGGTGAACCTAGGCCTCTCCTGTTACCAAGTCAGGCATTGGGTTACAACTTACAATATCTAGTCATTTGTTTTATTTAAATAGACTTGATAGCGGTAGAATCCGTAACCAACAAGTGGTTATGTGAGCCACCCTATGTCGTTCGATTACACTCGAAGCTGCGTTCTGACAATTTCTTGACTTTAATAATTCTGAAATTCTTATAAATAAATTTGTCTACTCATTCACTCTTCTCTTTGTGTGTGCACAAGCGTGTTTGTGTGTGTGCGCGCAACTTAAATAAAAATATATATAATTTATGTCACATCTATCTTAAGAGGTTTTTGTGTAGTGTATATTATTATATGCAATATATGGCAATCTCCTGCACTTTGTTCTTTGCAATATCGTACAACCTTCTATCCGTTAACCCTGAATTAAAAAACACGAAATGGACTGACCGGTCTCTGGACTAGTTATTACACTCAAGTATTGTCTAAATTGTCACAAAGTGTATTTTACCGGCAATGGTACTTTTGTGCACATGTATATATGTAAATTTCTATCTTGTTATACATATACCATGTTTCCCCGAAAATATGACAGGGTCTTATTTCAATTATCTTTCGAAAAATAACGCTGGAGCTTATTTTGGGGGGATTTCTTTTATTTTCGTTTATCAAAAACAATATTACAACGTACAGAATAAGAGATTTACAAATGTACAAAATACGAAAACCGATAACCATTTACTTATAAATAACACGTCTTCTTCTCTCCTACGTTTTATATTTAATCATTCAAAACGCGTAGTGGGATTTCTCGCTATCGAATAGGTCAAAAAAATTTCGCGCTTACGAATCATTCTTAAAATTCAGGCTAGATCTTATTTTCGAGGAAACACGGTACTATATTAGGTGAGGTCATAGTTGTGTAAAACTTCATTTATGTAAGTCCACTGATTCACTTCAAGAAGCGAGTACTTTACGCGAGCTCTATTTACGTATAAATATACTGAACGCTTTTATACTCACATTTATACTATACAGTTGTTTTACAATTTACATAAAGGTCTGATCTTATTTAAACAAATCAGAAAACATAAAGGAATAAACAAGTATTTTATTAAAAGGCATTAACTATATAACACAGAAGTAGAAATCACTAGGTGATAAATTGATTTTTCATATTTATAATATAATAATTGCATTGAATATGCATGAATAACAAATTGCATTGATAAGCACAACAGGTAGATTGTCGGTTTTTTCAGTAAATTTTTTAATGTTGTTTTTGACGGCGACCAATGAGTATCCAAACATTATCATATAAAAGGTTGAGATATAAATTTCCGTACGTGGGAAAGCCAAGGAAAAATAATTCCACAATGATTCTAAGTCTAGAAATAATAATGAGTAATAACGGTTACTATCGATTAAACAGAGTGGTTGCTAGAAAAGCAGAAAATTTGTCAAACAGCTATCTATTTTTACAAAGAAAAACTTTTACAAAGTCATTTAAAAGCATATGTTATGTTACACTGAACATTACATAAATCCAATAGAACCTAAACGGTATCGACTTAAGCCTAGAACTTAAAAGAAATTAAAACGTATCTAAAAAAGATGAGTAAGCATGCATTTTATTTAAGATCTCGTGTATAAGACTTGTGCTACTGAACACGAAGTGGACTAATGAATCGTTTTGTTAAATTGTTGTTGTAAGCATTCTTCTTGTTTTAGATGTAGTGAAAAAATTGCTCCCTCTTTAACTACTGAACCAATTTCTTTGAAATTCTCAGTAGTTGAAGTATTGTTGCCGGTTGAATGATTTATTTATTTCATTTATTTCTGTGGTCTCAATGGGATCTGTTGAAGTACTGGACTGTAACCGTACTGTAAAATATTTGACACTACTTTGCCTTCGTGTCCATATATTTGAGCATTGCTCACCTGTATTTTTAAGGCACAATTCATTTGAGTTACAAACCGAGGTTGCATATATACTTTGCATAAAACTTTTTTGGAATTTGGGTAAGATATCACAAAACTTTAATTAAGTTGTTAACATCATCTTCATCTAAAATCAACATTTTATTGAAATGATCTAAGTAGTTTTTGGAAGAGAACATTCAAGTATTGACATGATAATTACTATGCATGAAATTGGGTCAGTAAAATATTAATGACATTGATTGTAAAAATGGTGATCACAGTATTCTTTTCAAATACATAAAAAAATTAGCGTGGTTCAAATAACAATTAGAGTTGTAACGAACTTTGAGGGCCCACATCAACACGTGAGAGCCCCAAACAAAATATTGAACTTTAAATAAAATAGTAGTAGTTTTGTTAATGAGCAATGATTTGTCCATTTGAAAAGGTACTCCCAAAGTATGTCAACCAAGATTGCGGACACCTGTACGTAGTATGCGTAACAGGTTAGGGTTAGGCCATAACTTTATATTCAAATTTTCCTTATTTTAGTTTTATTACGACTTCGGGGACTAGCCGAGTGACTTACGTAGTATTTGTACCTGAAATTATGGCCTAACTAACTTTTTACACATACTACGTTCCGGTGTCCGCCATCTTGGTGCACATACTTTGGGAGTGCCCATTAAAATACTCAATTACAGGAAGATACAATATATAAAGTATGCTAAAAACACAAACGACACGGCTAAAAATGATCCTACTCTTATATAGGTTTGCCTCAACATAACGGATCGAAATCCACAATCGTATTTCCATCGTTCCTTAACCACCTGTCTCGTCATTTCTGCTTGTACATTTACAACTGGGAAAGACCTGTCTGGTATTTCTTTGTTTAAAAACGTACATAGTGGTTTCCAACCATCCTTAACGTTGTATATCAGTAACTTTTCCTTCGGACAAATAGACTTCACGTAACTATTGTGTTGGCGATACCGAGACCTAGGAAATTTTTTACTGGCAATGTGATAAAATCAGCGCTGTGTAGTCGGAGATAATCGACAATAGACACCAAGTGCCGACTTCGGGCTGAAAAACAAATTGTTCGACTCCGGGTTGTGAGAAAATCGACTCCGACTTCAGGTCCAAACTCCAAAAAATTCAAATTTTGATGACAAAAAATACATACAAGCCTTTTTTCATTAAAAGACTGTTTAAGGAGGTTTGATAAAATTGATGATTTTTGAGTTTTAGTCGAAAGTTTTGACTATTTTATTACTAGGTCTGTAATTCTGACTCCGACCAGGGAATTCCCAATTTGGGCTTCACTTCGAAGTTTAAAACACGACTCCATGCTATGACCCCAGTGATAAAATGATGACACGACTCTCGACTTCCCAGCCTTAAGCACAACCTAAAAATTGCCAAAACATATCATGGAAACATAGCTACAATCTATCTAAGTTGAACTAAACAATTATCTATTTTGAAGGTCATAGAATTTTGCAGTTGGTTTCATTTGAATCGGTGTTTATTTGAGTTTCACTTCAATTCATACGCCTACTGAGACATTAAAGTTTTTCACCTAATTCAATACTCGCCTATTATATACCGCCATAGTTGTACATTGTTTGCTTGAAATAAAAATTAGTTTTTCACCTCAGAAATGCCTCCGGTAATGTTTGTCCATACATTCTCGATACCCCAATAGAAGCATTTGTAAATGCTGTTTCGATGTTATAAAACTGCAATGATAGAGGCCCAGTAACAAATTGAAACTGAAGTTGTCTAAGGAAATCGTTCTTCCTGGAAAAATCAAGTTCGAATTTAAACATTCAGATTTCAAAATGAAATTTAAAGTTAACCTAAAGGGTATCTAATTCGTTATTCTTTGATGATGAGGGGTAGACATTGTTGCTTAATACAACTAAAGAATTCAAATAAATAATTATCAGTAGAAACAAATTTGTGCTTTATGTAAGCCGGTCGTAGAAAATCCTAGAAAAAGCTCATTCTTACATTGACTTCAAAAATACACATTTACAAACTTTTACACTCTTCTATTTTTCATTTCATCAAGACATGCATAAATTTACGGCAGTATAATGTGATCTTTTTCACCTGTATGTATTAGTCAACCCAAACATCTGTATTGCGTAATTTATAACCGCGAGGTGATGCTGAAGAGCATTGATTCTCCAGTGCCATCACGCGGATCTATTTTTAGTTCATAATACTTCATTACTTCACCTTGCAAATTAAACAAGCATGAAAGGCGCGTATGTATGTTTATTCGCCTTGTAATGGTAATAAATATAGACATGAAATGGCAATCATTACTGTTGAAGATGTGATTCATGCGCAACACCTTAATTTCCTAAAACACAAATGTGAGCATACATGTATTGCATACAATTTGCAAGCAAATATGCGGCATATGTCTCCGCCAGTATTCAAATGCGTCGCTGCTTAAGGTCAGTTAACTTGACAAATCCATTAGGATTGAAATATATTCAATAATCTTACACTTACACAACATATTCATTTGCAACCTCTCTCTGTTTGAAAACACTTCTAACCCATTCGTCTTCACTAGACCTGACCATCAATATTATCTGAAAAGTAAAAAGTATAGCAAATTGATTATAATGAGCACTAAGAGTTCGGTTGCTTCAACAGTACGAATGTTGGAATTGGAGATATGTACTTTAAGAACATTTGCAATCGCCTTTGAGTAGAAAAATTATGACTCGAGGTTGCAAAAAATGTCCCCTTCGACTCCGCGTTCGTAACAAGCACGTTATTGTTTGAGGACGTCTAGTACACTTGATGCTCTTTCATTTTTATTCAAATATTTTGCTCCCTCATATTTATCATTGGAAGCCTGAAACTATGGCTCCAAAGAATTCAGAATTCCCCGACTCAGGGAAATTTGAAAATACGATCACGGATCCATTGAAAACATGTCAAACTACAAATCCCGACTCTACCATCTTGGTCGAAATCGATCCGTTTCTGCTTACCTTTGCATCGGGGAAAGCTTCATATATCTGTTCCCTGACTCCTATTGCAGGAAAGTCTGTCATTGCATCGACATTTTTTAAGATTCGTTGATAGTCTTGTACGGTAACAGTGTTGTCCAGGATCTGGAAAAGTTGAAGATAAAATGACTTAGAAAATTTTGATCGAAAGTTTATATTATTTAGACTCGATCTTGGGTTGTTTCCTATACCCGAGAAGTATGTAACAATCATACTTGCTACGATGTTATTCAATATTCTCAGTCATGCCGTGTCACACTCTTCACACTAAACATACAATCACCACACTTGTCGCAATAGTATGTATCGAATTTCGTATGGCTACTCTAGCCTTTTGCCAAAGTATTTGATATATTCTAATTCTTCACCAAGAACCAAGCACGAATTCCAATTCAAGTTCTCACTTTAAACATTTTTCTCACAATATAAATAGATCTTAACTCAGAACAGCGGAGGAAGTGTAGCAAAGTGGGCCCAGTGGGATAAAGAAAGTGAAACCGCCATAATGGTCTGGATTTTGGGCAAAATAAGAGAGATTGATAAAACTAGCTATATATTTGCCAATACTACCATGTTTCCCCTAAAAATAAGACAGTATCTTATTTCAATTTTCTTCTGAAAAAAAAATAGGGGATGTTTTTTAATTTTATTTATCAAAAACAAAATTACAAAATAGAGAATTACGAGATTTTCAAATATACAAAATATGAAACCGATATCTCCCATTTACTTATAATTACCCCGTTTTTATTTGAATAACTGCATAACATAGATAAAACATTAATCAAAACGAGTAGAAAAGTTTTCTTGCTATCGACTGGTTCAAAAAAATATTTTTGCGCTATTGACTAGGTCTTGTCAGGGAGATGGCGTATATTTTAAATCGTTTTTAAAATTCCGGCTAGGTCCTATTTTTGCTCTGGGTTTTATTTTCGGGAAACACAGTACATGTATATCTCAAGAAAACAAAATTTTCGATAACTACTTCATGTATATTTACGTTTTTTTTATTTGAATTTGAATTGGTTGATGTGCAATAAATGGAATGAAATATAAGCCTTCAACAAATCGAAAAAACAAAACAAAAAACGCTTTTATTACCCCCATTCTCTGATTGTTTATTACTTACAAAAACTAAATATAAGAAACTTACTTTATCCCAGAGTTCTTTTTCGTGATGAAACTGTTCAAATACATCATGTACATTATATCCAAGTATTCTCAGTGCTTCTGCGATAGATTTTGTGCCGGTTTTCTGTAGTCCTGCACATATTATCTTCATACCGGTAAATATTTTTTATAATATACTATATATTTGAATCTAAGGGGTTATATAATAAGATACGTATGTTTTAGTAACAGTTTATACTTGGATTATGAGCTAAATATTTATCATGCTTCGCTGATTTTTTTTATACAAAACGTTTCCTCAATGGTGGATTTGATTATATTTTAGCATTTCAACTTCACCAAAGTCGAGAAAAATAAGATCAAATTTTTGTTTGAGTTTGGGTGTCATGCGTGATAAAATATTAGATAAAAATACTCAATCATGCGACAAAAGTGGACCAATGCATCGTTTTCCTAATTGATGTTGTTATTGTTGGATGGAAATCACTAGCTTTACAAATAATGACCCAATTAACTTCAAAACTCAATACTTGTAGGCGGTTGCTAGAAGATTATCACCTTTATTTTTCATCCAATTATTTCATAGGGAACACTTTTTATGTTCAATGGGAACATTTCATTTTTGTCGCACTTTTCCGCTATTCTTTTTATCAAACTTAATACTCATCTAAGGCTAAAAGATAAAAATGGGTCATTTCACCCTGATTACCAGAAAGTCTAATAGATTTCGAGACGCGAAAAACTCGTACGCGCTTTGAGCAGTTCTATGATTTGCAGGAACGAACCGCTTGTAACACCAATGAGCTTTAATGAGATATAAAGTTACAGTCGGGGTGGACAATTATTTCTTTGTTCAAGCATCTGTTTGCCTCGCCTGTCCATACGGAATGAATTTAGCGGAATTTAGCAGAATGCCATGGGTTTATCTTGTAACAATACCACAATCTCTTTTTATCAGCATTCAAAAACAGTGGCATATTGCGCAATCGATCTTTAACGCATCCGCCATCGTAGAAACACTAATCAGCTGCAAGGGGACACCTTTTAGTGCGCATGAGTTTCGCATAATGTTATGAAGTTTTCTAATATTGACAGTAGAGAAGGTAAAAACGTGGGTGCTCCTGAAGTCTGCGTACCAAGATGGTGGACACCGGAACGCAGTATGTGTACCAGGTTAGGGTTAGGCCATAATTTTATTCCAATTTACCTTATTTTAGATCTATTACGAGTTCGGAGACTAGCCAAGTGACTTCCGTAGTATTTGTACCTAAAATTATGGCCTAACCCTAACATAGCCAGCGTAGGCTGACTTATGTGATAACGTTGTCCTGACCTATATAATCGTTTGTTCACTAATTTTCTATTCACGGTAGTGTGGGACCTGCAACCCTTAATTTAACGAAACTGAAATATATTCCAATGAGTTAAATTGTAACACGTCTCTCTAAATATTACTGGTATGGTATATTAGTTAATTTACTGCTATTAATCCGTAATTCTGAAAAGACTAGGACTTCGGAATTCGAATATCACAGTTGCATCAAAAATTTTCGCTACATTGGGTACCGGTAGATTTTAGGACTTGAACAACTACTTCCAGCACCTTACTTTGAGCAGTTGTTGTGCCTAACTGCCGGATCAGATTTCCGTTTGTATTGTTTCCACTGGCGAACCTATAAAGGATCTGTGTTAATTATCCATGACTGCATCCCGACAAAGTTGATTTAAATTTGCTATCACAATTAATATACTCATTCCTTGCGTTGAACCAAAGCTAACTAACACCAACAGTGTAAATCAGAAACACTTAAAATTCCCCTTATATTTCATATCAGAACACACTTTCAACAATAGACTCATATACAATAACCGCTTAAAGAGATGTTCGCTACCATGGCAACGTCTCCCTAATGATAATAAACAATAACATTCAGACAAACAAAATCTATCACTTACGACAAAGAATATTTTCTCCAAAACGCTCTGTGTTGACATATTTAGTCTCGTTGATTTATCTTTTTTCAAAGATATACAAGACACATAAAAATAAAAAGCGTTTGGTTCTCACCCCCGCCATGATCAGACGTGATTTAGAAAGCTTAAATATGGCGACGTTATCAGCATGTATTCCCAACTAAACTTATTTGATTCAAAACAATTCATAGATATCGCTTAGTTTCTAGATTGATAAAATTGTCAAATTGAAAAAAAAACTTTTCATACGATTGGAATAAATAACACAGTTGAAAATAACTGGCCTAATTTCTCGCTTGCTTGCTACAACAAACGCTGTATAGTCACTGATCATAGGACACTAATTTTAATAAATTAGGGGCGTTTCACCCAACTTTTTATTTGCAAATTCAATAAATCCATTGATATATTAAATTATAAATAAAAAAATATCAATTTAATTGCAGATTATTAAAATTCTCAAGCGCAAAACTAAAATACAAACTACAAGAAATGTATGTCTAAATTCAAAAATGCAAAATATAAATTATCCTAAACATATACATATACGCTATATAATAATTGCTCGGACATACAGGCATTAAACAAATAAATAAAACTCAAATTTTGGACAAGGAGTGGACTTCTGGGTCAATTTGTTATTATGTTCTTGTTATGTATTATCGTTATTGCTTTTCTCTCTGATTACTAGACCAATTACTTTGCCTTTTGTAGCGGTTAAAGATATTTTTCGCTAGAAGGTTAATACTTTTTATTTATTTCAGATATTTGTGTGATCTATGGGCTTCGTTTTTTTGTGAGCTATGACGTCATCAAAATTTGCGCACTTTGTGGCACGCAAACGCATATCAGCGGATCTTGTTCTCAGCGAACGTCGGTGAATTTCGTGCTTATCGAAAGTGGGAAGTTTTCATGGAGAATGGTATACTGCGGTACCTCTTCTGGTAATACAGCGGTGAATGGTATTTCAATTCACGTTAAAACTGATCCATGAAGAATGAATGGATGATCTTCACAGGACATGGAAAAGCTAAGACAGTACCTGTACTATTATCGGTACCATTGGTAGCCGAGTTGTCCGTGTAGTCGAGTTTTCCGCCTCGCGAAACGACCACTGGTGAGCCACCGGCTTACCGCATATGATTTACGGGGAATCGATGATAAAATATTAAGTTTTTCCCTCCTTGTCCACATCATTGAGCATATCTCTCTTATTATTATGGTTACTCGAAGAAAAAGTAAACGGCGATCTGTTTATAAAACAATACGGTACTCCTGAAGTATGCGAACCAAGATGGCGGACACCGGAACTTAGCGTATACCAGGTTAGGGTTAGGGCATAATTTAATTCAAATTTTACCTATTTTAGTTCGGGGACTAGCCAATTGACTCCCGTAGCATTTGTATCTGAAATTAGGGCCTAGCCTGGTACACATACTACGTTCCGGTGTCCGCCATCTTGGTTCGCATACTACAGAAATACCAACAACAGTACAGGTACTGGTTTTAAGTTTAGGCGTTAAAGCACTAACTTCCCCACACATTATGTACATCATCATCATTGATCTTTGAGAAAAAAAAAGAATTTAAAGTGAGCCTTATGGTCCATCAAATATGGTATATGGATTATTTTTGTTGTATCTCTGTGCTTCAGGAAATTAGTTCGTTTTCAAAAATCTCAGAGGTATTTAGAGTCATTTTTATTGAACTAGCGAGGTAAAAATATGTATGAGGTATGCTATAAACGCAACACAAATGGATAGTAATATCCCAATCCTAATATAAGTTTGTTTCAACACTATCTTTTGGAATCCACAATCGTATTTCCACCGGTTACAAATAACTTGACGTGTCATTTCTCCGCGTACGTTCACAACTGGGAATGATTTTTCTGGAACATCTTTGTCCAGAAATTTGCACAGTGGCTCCCAGCCGTCTTTCACGTTGTATATCAACAGTTTCTCTTTCGGGCAAATTGATTTAACGTAGGAATTGTGCTGACGATACCGTGACCTTAAACAATAAACAATGTTATTTAAAAACAGATAAAATAAACGAACATTATAAATCTACCGTTTGAAGCGGTGTTTTGAGATATTTCTTCGTAAGAATAGGAAAGGTTATGCAAGATATATAATATGGTCCCAATTGAATCTCATCCAGAGATGGAATTCACAATTGTAAGAACCGGTTCCCTTTGAATGGAACTCTCCTAATAACGGGTTCCCTCATTTCAGTAAACCATGCCCAACATACAGCCCAGTACGTCATATTCTCTAATGTATACTACTACGCAAGCTACATAAATATGACGCGCTTCAAATAAATCTTATTCAAAACTATCGAAACGCCAAATAGAACGCTATTCAGAACGGGTTCGCTGTTTTAAAGACGGGTTCGCACAAGCCTACTGATTCCCACTACTTGTCCTACCCATAAAAGTCTGTTATAATGTCAAAAAGAGGTGTGTTTATTACATTGGCGTTGAATTAAAAAATAGAATACCAGATCTATTGAGATCTACAGGACGATATAATTACTGAAATCGTTTCTATTCAAAACGACGTATTTTTTTCTGTGTGTCTTCCTGATATCAACATTAATGAAATGACAAATATCGATTTGCGATAACTATATACATATCAGTGCCTTTCTAAATCATTCTTTGATTTAAGGCTCATGAGTCAGGAAAAATTTACAATCGACTCCCGAATTAAGACAAAGAAAAGTTTTGACTCCGACTCCGGGATGTAAAATATTTCAACTCCAAGATGGCGCACAACCTGAACATAGTATGTGTACCAGGTTAGGTTTCAGGTTGTGCGCCATCTTGTTGCGCAATCCTCTGGTGCACTAAAATTTTAGCGAATGAAGCCTTCTTCGACACACTATTAAGAAGACTTAGTAAATTTGAATCTTTTTGGGTAACTACAGAAAATTTTGGAATTTTCATCAAAATTGAAAGTCTGAAATTCTGACTGCGGAATCCGAAGAATTTAGAATTTCATGCTCCAGTGAAACACGTCAAACTTTGACCGCCGAGTCCAGCGGTTTACGTTGGGCGGCGCCACAGCGCAGTGATTTTATCAGTATCTTAAATTAAAGGAAAATCAGGCAGAGACGGGAAATAAACGTTCTACTTTTGAGTATAACACCGCTTTGATAAGATGTGTTCAGAACAGCAGACATACACCTCTCATTATATAAATAAGTGAACAAACTTTAGAACAAAATACAAATTAACGATCACAAAATTGAGTTTTGTTTAATTAAAGGCAACAAATTTTTTTTTCGTGTAGGTAAGACGTGATTTTTTTTCCTGGTAATTTAGCACCGCACGAACATAAGGTTTGGAAAACGCTGCTTTAGCCCTACCTTCACTATCCATATTCTAAAAAAAATAAACGGAATTTTACCTCAAAAATGCTTCTGGTAATGGTTTCCCATGCATTCTTGGAACTCCGAGAGAAGCTATCGTGAACGCAGTTTCTATTTTATGAAACGCAAAGGCTAGTGGTCCTGTGATAAAATGCATTCGGAAATGCCGGAACAAATCGTTTTGTCTGAAAACAAAATACAAGGAATTTCGAATTAAAATTCCGAGGAATATTTTGAGAACAAGAGAGATGAAAACGATGAAATTATAAAGCAATATAATTTGGTTACTAAATACTCATTCAGGCCTCAAAGCGTGAGGAATTGTGAATCAATTTTTGCGCGGATTCCATGAAATGTGACCATTATGTACAATTTATATTTGCCAAAAGCGGGTTCATGGCCATTAAATGCGAACACGATATTTTTGGATATTGTCAACTCGCGGTATTTGCGGTCATTGTGTTTTTTTTTAGGCATCCGAACCAAAGATTCCCGTTCCTCTTGTACAGCTATAGCGCGTTTTATATAACAATAATTTCGCCAAGAATTACTTGTAAACGAGCATATTTAAATATTCTTACATGATCAGGTATTCATTTGCAACTTCTCTCTGTTTCAATACACTTTTCACCCATTCATCTTCACTCGATCTGACCATCAAAATAACCTGATTGAAAACAAAAAGTTTTTTTATACATTTGATTAAACACTGAAAACTGAAGAGAACTTCTACAGTCGATTTGAGTCAAGTTAAGTTTATTTTTTCAACCTACAAAATATCAATCACACACAATCTTTGAGAAAAAAGATAATCACAAAATTTTACTGGGGAAAAAAGTCGCGGGGGGACTAAAGCTGGTTATCGAGCATCGACACCCAAGGTTCTAATATTTATTAAAAACATAGAGAATTTTATTTAAGAAACTGCTTACTTTTGCATCTGGGAAAGCTTCATATATCTGTTCCCAGACTCCTATCGCAGGAAAGTCAGTCATTGCATCGACATTTTCTAAGATTCGTTGATAGTCTTTTACGGTAACAGTGTTATTTAGGATCTAGAAAAATTACGGCTGAGATAGATAAAGAAAATTTCATAACCAAATTCGTGCATCGGAAACAAATGATAACTGGCCAACATGGAACGGTAACAATATGGACTGAGCCGTCTTAATCGGTTTTCTTCTGCCCCGGAATAAATATGTAAATCCAGGATAAAAACCGCGAGATGCTAATTTGCGAAATAATATTTCAAAAAAATAGCCTCTCCGAAAAAAGTGAAGTACAGTTTTACGCAATTGGACATTGGTGAGAATGTAGCTTTGCGAGAATGAAATTCGACGGGGACTTTTTTGAGAGCGGTCTTTCGCGTAAATGTAACTTTACGAATGGTATTTTGTGATTTAAGTTCAATAAAAAGTTTAGATTAAAATTTTATCCGTAAGAATTAGGATTGCACGGAAGCTTTGGTTTAAAATCGGGGCTCAGGAATAACAAGACAACTTTTATAGTATGAGTTAGAATTAATACATTCTGCTTAATTAAACCACATTCTTAAATGTACCTTCCTACAAAGTTAAATTTTCGAAAAAGATTATTTTTGTTGAAGTACATGCCCGCAAGGTGCTTCTCAAAACCCTTATTTGCAAACTCCATTGTAATAAATGATTCTCGTAAAACTATATTCTTGCAAAACCACTTGAGCACGCGAGAGCCATTCTCAATCAAAAAGCTTTCTTTCATGTATATATATAATTCTCTCTATCTTGTATGATGTAACCTATAGTGGGGGGAACACATATCAAATCACACTGTGTATATCAGGTGTTTATCAGTGTACACCTTTCTTTATTATATAAAATCGAATGTTCCGATATTCAAAACAAATTCAGAAAATGGTAAGCATAAGCAGTAATAAAGAATTATGTCAAGTATATAACTGATGTATGATCACGTTGGTGGTCATCCTATATTAGAAACATTTTACTTGAAATTTTGGTGCCCCGAAGTATGTGCACCAAGATACAAACTGAACATAGTATTGTACCAGGTTAGGGTTATCAGGTTGTGCACCATCTTGTTGCACATACATCTGGAGCGCCGAATTTTTTTTAATGATTCAACTCATTAAAAACATTTACCTTGTCCCAGAGTTCTTTCTCGTGATAAAACTGTTCGAATACGTCATGTACATTATATCCAAGTATTCTTAAAGCTTCTGCGATGGTTTTTGTACCCGTTTTCTGTAGTCCTGCACATATTATCTTCATACCGTTACCGAACAGATTGAATAATCACTCAACGACGACGCAAATAGGTATAACACGATGTCGGTTATTATTCTTCCAATTTTCCAACACTCACTTTTTGGCATATGAACCAATCGACAGTCGTCTTCTTTTGAAAATGTTTCTACGTTGTGCGTCGCGTCATCCTTGTTATATTCAGTTAATATGTAACTATAAATTCCCTTCCATTTCCAATTTTATCGATTGCGGGACTCCATATTAATCACTTTCCTTTTATATAGTTGTGGTAAGAGTAGAAAGATAAGGATCACTGGAGAGTGAAAACCAAAAGTAAACTCGAATTGTATCGGTAATTGGGGATGTTTACTTTGAATGCCAATGGCTTTGTCAAGTCTGGTCGACACTGTCTACTCTTTTTAAGTCTCTCATTTTAAGCAGCAGATCGCACACAGCATAAGTTGTAATTATGTGTATCTATTCGGCAAGACAACAATTTACACCACGTGCTTGAAATAAGCATCTCATCATTGTTGCATTAATGCATTCAGCTTGTTAAAATTACCTTAATTTCATCTTCGATTCATGATATGAGCGACATTAATTCTTATTTACATATCACGTGGTATCTTGAAATGAATCTGTTTTTGGTGCCTTGAGTGTGCGAATCCAACGGTGCATAAACAGTGCTATTTCAGGTCATTGCCCTACAATGCAAAACCATCATTCGGCTTCCCAGCCGCAGCCATATCTATACGTTCGCTTAGTCGGTTTTGCATTGAAAGGGACAGGGTTTAGTTTTCCAACAAACTATATATTCACTGCCATCTCCTGGCAAAACAGTGTGTATTGCGCAAGTTTATATAATAATATAAATGGTATATTTACTTACTATTGTGCACGGGCGAATGCACTAGTTAAAAACCATATTTGTATTATATATATTTTTTTTTGTTTACATTGCTTTGTAAACCAAAAGTCAATAACATTTTTGAAAAGGTAATACTCAACGCAAACATGATTTCATCTCGTTATCGTAAGGGAAATCCTGTCTTCCATAGCGTCATACTTTTTCAAATACTTTCAATACTTTTGCTGGCCCGTGAATACGTATTTGTCAAACTGTTATAAATTTGAAACTTTATCGATAAAAATGGGAAAGTTGTGATTTTATTTATTTATAAACAGCACTTATTGCCGATGCCTAAACTATCAAAATTGCAGTGGAATGCAGTAACATATTATAGTGTTTATTTGAGTGTTTCTGTTGTTTTGACATTGCGGTTTTTTACACGGCTTGACATGAAGCCATAGCTGTCAGGGATATCATTAGCGGTTAGAAATCAGAATCAGGCTCGTATCTGTATAATAGCAGAAGAAATAGTTTTAAAATTTAATTTCAACGATTTTTATTTTGCAATGTACATACGTTCATGCACTTGGAATTTATTTCAACAAGCTTGGCGACCTGAGCTGGTAACTTTGTAAGAGATCGAGTTCGACTCCTCATCAAACGTTTTATTCAGTTTTATCGTCATTTTCATAAATTCTCGGAAATTGTATCATAGACCTAGTTATTCTATAAAGCAGCGGTTTCAACCGGGGACAGATGGCCCACCAAGGGGGCCATGGAGCAGTTGGAGGGGGTCGCAGTGCTAGGCGCCAAACTAATTTTAATTTTCAACTTGCAAGAAATTTCTCCGTTTTCTTAGTTTCTTTTTTGATTAGGGTATTTCACGTGGTGTTTTCACGTTGTTGCATAAATTGTTTGAACATATTAGGACTTGGAAAGTCACACGCTCAATAACACTGGATGATAAACAGGGGGGGGGGGGGGGGGAGATGACGTGGCACATGAGAGCCACGAGTCATAAAATGTTGGGAACTGCTGCTCTTAAACTTTATTTTGTGTGATTAGTATAGCAATGGGCATATGTATTTGATTATATGTGAAACATGTAAAACGTTATAAGACGTCGTATATCTGCGTGTGTGATTGTATACCCAGGTGACCGCGAATCATCATGAATGACCTATTCTCTCTATACTTTGTGTTGTATTACGTTACTGACCGACAAAGCATACGTTGATGGGCAAAGTATTCTATTCCATTTTATTTATATTTTTTTCAAGCTAATGCTAGATATTGATAAAACAAGATATATTCTTGCCTGGCCATACGAATTGCAACATAGTTTTCTAAATCACCAAAATGATAAATTATTAACCTTTGGGCGTTTCACGAGTGTATTTATTCAATGTGCCGATTTAATTTATAGCAAATATACATGCGAGAAGGCACTCATTTTGCGTTGTTGAGAACTTACGTCATAAGTGATTAGCCGATGGGAGCCATCCAGAGCAAACACTGTAATCACCCCTGAATGTAGACTGTATAAAACGGTCCCATATCACAATTTCGAGTCATCTTTTGGCCTACTGCGCTTGCTGGACCCGATACTGTTTGTGTTGAGCTCATAGCGGTCCGAAAATGAAGGTTATATGTGCCGGAATCCCCAAAACGGGAACAAAAACAATGGCCGAAGCGTTAAGGATTCTTGGATATAACGTTCATGACGTTTTTCAACAATTTTTCTACCAAAAGGAGCTGTGGTCAAAGGTTAGTTGTACGTCATTGAGTAGTTGCCAGATTTCCTGTGTTGGCTAGTAACTAGTTAGCTAATATAACATTGTTTTTAAGCCAATTTGTACGATAGTTTATACTATAACGCTGAACAGATAACCAATCACAGGCAAGTTTGATATTGGAATTCAGTTCATGTAATTCCATATACGATCTTCCAATTACAATATTGGTGAGGACAAAAGTTTGGTGGCGGATTGAGTCACAAATGTAGGTTTTGATTCGCTCCATTGAAAAAAAAAACTCGCATAGCAAAAAGCCCTTGTCACGGGGATGGAAATTATATTTCATATTAGCTCACGCTGGCATTGCATGACTCGGCTAAAACTTTGTTGGGTGAATGATTGGCGCAATCAACAGCAATTTTATTTCAATTTCACACTAGACTTACAAAACCAAGCAAGTCAGGTCAATGTAATCTTATTCTCCACTTAAAACATTATCGTTCCGTTTGTTCCTATCGCTACGGTATTTCCTGCCGTAACGTTCAATTTAACTGAACTCGTTTATCATGACTGAATCTGGAATCTTCAATATTATCTGATTCGAGATTTCTGGAAATTGTTAAAAGGTTTATGTAACCACGCTTGTTCGCCTCGACCGGCGGTAATGAAAAAGTTACCCGAATAAACACAACTCGATCACGTACTTTGGAAATGGCTATATAGAATATAAAATGATCTTTTGTACTCCCGCGACAAAAAATCACCTCGCCGCTGCTCAAAAAATTAGTAATTATTCATTGTCACAGTTTTAGATATTGTTATTGTGTTTAATCGAATTAGGGGTCTGCATAATATATATATATATACAGAACATGAAAACGGACACTATGGTCCGTGGCGCCAGTTACATTTTTATTCATTGATGGAATTCAGCGATATCGGGGTTAGTGAACGCGCAGTTATCTAAACGTGTCGAGCGCAATCTTCAGTAACGTGGTGGGGGCGTAATACATTCAAATTTCACTCAATATATTTACCAAGACAAAAGGAGACCGCGGAAAGTATGAGTTGTATTCCTAATTTCATTAAGTCAAACATTTGATCCAAATAGCAATATAAGTTGAGCTACTTCCACTATTAGAGAAATACGTTATTATCAGTAGGTAATGACACAAAACTTGTAACGATAGTGTATAGCAAGCTTTATTGATACACTCTCATTTCCTAATATTTTAGATTCTTGCCAACAAAGCCACAATTAAAGATTATCAGAGAGTTCTCGCAGATGTCGATGCAGTAACTGATGTTCCTGCTTGCGGTTTGTGGGAACAAATATCAGAAGCTTTCCCAGATGCAAAGGTAAATATTGTGAACAATTGGTTTCTAACAAGCCTAAGCAAACACATTATAAGGTTGCTAGTAGTCACAAAAATGGAGCGTGTTAAATTATTGTCTGACTGCAGTAATAGGGAATTTTTGATTCTCGCATCAAAACCAATAGTGATGTCATAGCCATAAGCTTGATAAGGTTATGAGGAGGTGAAAGATTGGCCACAAAATATCAGAGACGTACGTGAGGTAAGGTACTAATGGTTAAAATTATGTACAATATTTTCAATTTTCCAAATAAATGAATAAACTGATGTGAACGGTCAATGAGACGAAAATTCTAGCAATCCTCTCGATCGTCATCAGACTAACTATAGCCATATACCGTCGCATATCCCAGCGTTTGAGATCAATTGGGACAACGCCGCAAAAATATTCTTACATTTGATCTAATCAACTATACGTGACTCTAAAATTTGTGCATTCTTAGGTGATTCTCATGGTCCGGTCCTCTGAAGATGAATGGTACCAGAGTATAAAATACCACTTCAAGCATATGTCCAATTTAAAGTAAGTAGACGACGGGTATGTTTCTAGCAGTGTGTGTAAGCTGGTAATAAATAATAAAATGGTAATACCGTATCGGAAATTTGATAGTATCTGATCAATTTTAATTTTGAAATTGCTAGAAGCAAAATTATAACCGGACAGCTTAGAAGCCCAACCTTTGTCGCTCTGAAAATATCGGTATCGAGACCCCCTGCTTACCACCTCACATTAGTTGCGCTCAATAATAGGGTAGAAAATCTTCCAGTATTTCCACAAATTCATGGGCAGATGTTTGCACAACCCGTCAGAAGCGAAGTGTGAATCTTCCCATGAGAGCGGGACATCGAGTTTGGGCCTCGATTTATGCTATAACTATGGCATTTTCTCCGCAACATTCCCCCTTTTATTTCTGGACAATGCTGGTACGCACGTACGCACCTGAAGGAGGATGCACGAACCCGAACGCCAACATTATTAGGTCCGATTCTCCTCTCTCACTCTTTCTCCACTAGTTCAGTTCACATGTCAAATTATTTTTCGCAGTCACATTTTCTTCTCTGGTTTAAAACTGAAATTTCTCTTTTATTACCAGCTACAACATTCTTCTCTACCCTGTCTTCAATTTGATTCTGGGACCGTTACACAGAGAGTTCCTATACTACCTTTCCTCGTTTCTTCCTGGATCTCTAGGAACTATTTATACGTGGGGTCAAGAGGTCGAAGTTCTACTCAGGTAAGATACATTTTTATGTAATGTCATTTCTATATAAAACCTAGTGTATGGATTACATAAATTCCAGAAAATTTTGTAATTATTTTTGAACAAAAAAATAGCTATTATTGTTTGTCACAATGTTTTTATGAATAATAATATCTTGTATATATTGCCGTGTATATCCTGATTTATGATTTTGAAAATTTTTGTCATCTCGAACCTTTGAAACCAATTGAGCCTTAAATAAATAAATGAAAGAGTCTACTTAAGCTTTAGCTAATCCAACTATATAGATATATGTAATAAATGCGAAATACACTAATCCGGTAATTATTCGGCATTTTGTCTACATATTGATTGTTAATGTCTGACTACTTACGTATAGACATTTTTGAATCAAATTCACATTACCCATTTGCTTTATTTTTGATATTCTATTTATCAACACTGGACAAAGCAATTTCACGTGTATCTGTTTTAAATTTACTTTAACCTTTGAACTTTGACATACAGGTCACGATATCGACAACATAACATGTACGTTAAAGCAACTTGCCCAAAAGAAAAACTCCTCGTTTTCAATGTGAAAGAGGGGTGGAAGCCTTTATGTGAGTTCCTGGGAGTCGAAAAGCCAAACGTGCCTTTTCCTATTGAAAACGTTAAAACTAAAATCGTTGATGACGTAGCAAAAGGCCAATTTGAACACGACTGTGGGTATCACAGAACAGTCGTTCGCCAGGTTTTCACGAGAGTTGTTTTCCTTGTAGGAATCCTACTTGCACTTTTGTTTTTTCTCATATTTTAACAATTTACTATGCCAACCCTAAGAAGTGCTCGAGATTATTTCAACACTATGAAAATTTATGACGGCTCTAACTATCTATCTATCTATATTTATCAATATTATTTATTTAAGCTAATTTGTTATTTCGCTCTCAAAACAAGGTGTCATAAACTGAGGCTTATGTACGATGTCATAGGAAGATGTGCACTTCGTAATTATAAGACCTACGGGTTATGATAGATGTTGCAATGCCACATGAACCCAGCGGTTGAAAAATGAGCTCTATATCCCAGTGTTAAGTATAAGTTCCCGAATCCCGAGTCACAAGTAATATAGAGGCAAAAATTATACGAGTTTCGAGTCGATTCAATTACTGAGTTGAGTTTCACAGATGGTTAGTTAAGTCCAAGTCATTTCATTCAGATAACCTGAGTCATCTCGAGTCTTTGATAATGATGACTCAATGCCAGTCGAGGCAATGACTTGGGCATCCCAGCACTGTTATATTATCTTCCTGTTATATGTATTGTACTCTAAAAAAAACTGTCGAATTATTATATCCTAATATATGAGTACGTACTACTTGTATTTCTAACCTTTACAATTTGGCTTCAAAGTTTGTACAAATCCGTATAGGGGGACAAGCCTGTTTTGATTCTTGTTGACTGCTTGCTGACACAATGAGCGGGCTGAATTTCTGACGGTTATTAATATTTTTCGTCTTTATCAGAATCATGATAAACAAGGCTCCGATTAAAATCTTTTAACCCTAAATCACCTAAAAAAACATTTAATTATTTTTATTCAAACTTTTGTCAAATTCGAATCACAGTAAACTCATGGTTGATGCACTTTGAAATTCGACCACGATGCACATAAGTGAACGATAGATTGAAGCTATCTCAACTATTAAGTCATAATATTTCTTATGTGCGTAAGTGTTATGAAAGCCGTGACATGTACTTTAAATTTATTTTTTCTAAAATTCACCAATTTCGACGAGCTAACAGTGATGAAGCAGGTAGCTTGTGATATTATGCCGTTTCAATGCAAGTGAATTTTGTTATTTTTTACATAGTTATAATGTGCAAAACTAAATGAATATGAAAAGAATGAATTTTTGTATCAAGCAATATTTCGGAAAACGGGGAAGCCAAGTACGACATTTTTGATCGATCTGTTATATCGACGTGGCTGTGGAATATTTAGCTATTGTGATTATTATATATGTAAAACTGACAATTATTCTTATTTTTTGTGTAATAATAATAAATAAAGAGTATGCAATTATGTGAGAGTGTTTTCAACCAGAAGGGTGGGAGAGGCAAGAAAGATCACCAGCCGCTCCCAATCCAAATATTGCTATTTGATTGTCCGAATCGCTATAACGACTGTTTACTTGGCAACTATGAAACAAACTAATCATAAATCTTACAGTTTTATGAATCATGTCATGAGTTACTACGTAGAAAAGTGTTCCCTTGAAAAATGAAATTCACAAACTAAAAAGATAACTACGAGGACAAATTGGAGATTTATTTCATTCATTTGAGAGTTAACCTTTATTTAAATTTTCAGAGGTCAAAAATAACAGGAAGAGATCTCTAAATTTATTCATAAATTAGTTGATATGTTAACCATTCCCAGTACCTTATTGAGAACGCTTAAAATAGCTTACTTTAGAATTTGCTAAATAGTAATCTAGGACTTGAATTTTGAATCCGACTAAGTGTCGGATCAAAATCGAAACTTTTATTTAACTGCAATAAATTAGGTAGCAAACTACAAGGTTTTTGTATTCAAAATTTTCGTATTTCGGAATCGGGAGCTGAAGCCGAGTTTTTTGTCAATCCTTCCGTACCGGAATTAGTTCATCACAAAAGTCATTCGATCACTACAGCTCAATTTTGGGTACTCCCGTAGTGTGTGTACCAGGTTAGGGTTTGGCTATAATTTTTATTCCGATTTTCCTTATTTTAGTTCTATTACGAGTTCGGGGACTGTCTGTGTTAGCCAAGTAATTATACCCTCTGCCTATAGGTTTCCGTCGTTTTACGCAACTTGATGTAAAATAGGCGAACAAAGTTAGTTATATCCATGTTGGTACACATACTTCTGGAGGGCCCAATTTTCTACGCTTAGTCAGTGTTCCCAGTCACGCTACACGCTTAAAGGTCAAAACATGATTCTCTTATTACAAGACTATAACCAGTATTTGTCTACTTTTACCCATTATTATTGAATCCCAGACACGTAGAAATGACTTTAATGCTTGATAGTTTTCAATTTGACTGTTGTTTGCTGATGCTTCAAATCTAAAGTATTGAGCGAATCCGAACATAAAAACAATTCCAAAACATCAGTTTATTTCAACAACGCTTAAAAAAATACAATCAATACAAGCAGAACACTGCCAGTCACAGTCATATTCCTAAAGTAATAATCAAAATTCGATTTTTTTGTATACATTGATATGTGGTTTTATTCAAAAGTAATTGCAGTTTCTAGCTATGCATGGTGCAATTATTTGGGCACGAAGTACTTTATCTTCAACGTGATTGAAGTTACATTGTTACTTGAGCTGAAACTCGACAAGTTTGGGAAGAAAAATATCTGGGCTGTGGCGCATTATAAAACAACCAAATTTAGGAGTGAAACAAAAAGGCCTGGGATTTTGAACAAAATAAGACGAAAAAACATAGAAGTAGACTACTGTTTTCTGTGAACTACTAAAAAGTTGAAAGCGATTAGTTCATTAATTCACAAAATAGATGATTAGTGCTACCTACAAAAACAATTTGGTCAAATAAATTCATTATAGCGTCTAAAATTTAAAGTTAGTTTATAATAGTCAATTTTATTTATTCAACTCTGCAAATACTACTAAAACTATGAAATTGAACAAAAACATATTATTTTACAATCACAACTACTGTATACTACAAGCTAATAATACTAAAATTTCACTACCTTTACATATACGTAACTATAAAATGTTGTCCAATAAATGTAAGGATGCACAAAGCATTAAAAAAAAAATTAGAGCGAATTTTGATGTCATGATTTTGGGAAACTCGATCAAACTTAGTAGCATATTGTAAAGTTGTTCACACGTTGGGTTAATCATGATGAATATAACAGCAAAAGCTGTTAAATGAAAAAAGCATAAGACGACTTTAAAAAAAACGTCATGAATGAATTTGGACCAATATTTTTTAAACAAACGCTATTAAAAGGCTCAAATATTTGTACAATTTGGTATTGGATAGAGAGACAAAATACAGACAGCTAAGACGACACAAAATAGCAAATGTTACTCAAGGAATAAAAATCAGTGCGTTTTGACTTTAATAACACGACTAGAGTCGCAATGAAGGCACTAGGCTAGATAAATTTCCAGACACTAATTTTAGCCAAACCCGGCCCATAACTGATTTCCGCATACATTGACTAATTAGAGGGCTATTCCAACATATATCAAGCATTAACAAAGAATTCCACGGCTAGATCCATATTCTAGTTAACACACTAAAATCAATTGAAAACCTAATAAATCAGCTACTAAAAAGCACATATTCCTAACAGTATGCAGTCCAAAAGAGTCTAATGTTTTCGGAGAATAATCCAGTTACATTCTAATCGTCGCCATCCCAACAACAGCAACAACAACATTTACAGCAAGCAACACAGCAGGCGACTTCAGCGCAACATGGGCAACACGCGAAGAAAGCTGTTCCACAGCAGCAGCAACAGACACCCTTGAAGCACTGAAATAAAATAGGAATAGAATTAATTGAATATGTAGGAAATATGTGGATTGCAGGATCAATGGCTTTCAAATTTTAAGTAGTCGGAGATACAAAATGTATCTTTCTTTTCCTGTGAATCCCGTTTTTGGGAACGTATTGTACATATATATGTGAATGTTTTGAATGTTTTCGTTGTTTGGGTTAAATTTGCTGTTGTTGGAAAAGGGTTTTTTCTCCGCAAATGTCATACCAAGCGATTTCAAAGGTTCAGTACTTGGAGACGAAAGAAGTTGCTAGGAACATTACTTTTATTATTTTCAATTTTTTTTTTTTTTTTTGAGTCGTATGAGACCCAATATTTCACCGCCTGCACAATCGCCGATCTCTTCAGAAAACTTGGTGCCTATCAAGTACATGCACCAACGCGCGAGATTCGTGTTAATGGATTTGATCATTGCTCATTTTTACCCAAATTTTGCTTATAATTCGTTGCAATCGTGCTTACCAAACTGCGAATGGAGAAAAACTTTCTCTTTCCTATATTTATTAAATTCTTTACCAATTGCTGTATCTTTAAAGATTGTTGTGAATGATGCCAAATACATAACTTTTGTTGAAGCATACAAAATTGGGTATTTCATAAATATATCTAAATTTTACAATTAATAAATTTATTAATTATTCATGATCGGAATTTTAATCAATCATTGTGTACATTTTATAATTATTACCAGTAAACGTAAGTGCAGTGCTTTTTTATGCAATTGACCTGAGATATCCTCGATTTGATATCTGTGTTGGTACAACCTTGTATTAAACAAACTTTAATCGTTTATTTAAGATGGGTGAAATGCGGTCGTTTGCATTTCATATCCCAAAGGATGTGTATAAATATGACATCAACGGTTTTGTAAATTTTTCCGTTAGCCTTTAACGGTACAAAGTACACCCAGCCTTGTTAAATATTTGGTTACTGTAAGGTTACATTAGAGTAGAGAGAGTGTATTATCGGGCAGAATCGCATATGTTTGTTTTGTATATTGACGTCAATGTACCTGCGACTTTTTCGATTTCAGAGAATGTTGATAAAAGCGACAAATGTTTCAAACAACTATTTTAATACGCAGTCGACCTGTGAATGGTTTTACTAATTTGTTGTTGTATGGTTGTCGGTAACAACATCAATTTTAAAAAAAGTTCCCAATTTTTTTTAAACTGTGTTTTACCCCCGAACTATTATTCTAGAATTTAGAATCTAGATAAACAAAGTTTAATTAATGCGATGTTTGACGCTGAAGGAGACAAAAATTAAAAAGCCCAATGGGGTACCAAAATGAACAAAATATAAATTATTTTGCCGAATTGTTGTTGTTACTTTTATTTTATTATCCAGTCAATCCCTACGGGGCCCGATGTTTTACGTAAAATTGTTTTGTTTTTCTTATAATTTACGGACACGTTTTCATATGTCATTCGTTGATAATTATGAATTTTTCTGACTGCGGTGGTTATAATAATAATTTGGCCTTCTCGTGCATTTTTGAGAGCATATCTCATGCGGTTGCATAATATGACTGTGCAGTCGGTGTGCGGTGTTTATCTCCCTGTCGAAGTAAAAGTTAAAAGCTTTCCAAAGTTGTGATGTGGACTTAGATTTTATGCCCGAAAGAATCAAAATTTCAGGAGATGAATTTTTTAACTGAAACGAGACAAAGCTTTTTGTTCTTAAAGTCCCGTTGAAACTTGTCGAAAGTTGGATGAGATTTATAAATAAGCCGGAGTTTGGAGTGCATTTGGGATAGAAATAGCTTCGACTCCACATCTCCTAGTTGCGTAAACGGATAAATTGAACCAATAAGCAGAATAAGAGTTTCAGTCCGAGTCGAGTTGCTAGATTATGAAAGGAAGATATTATCTTAAACCACTAAAGACCGCAATGAAATACCATTTTTATTTTTGAAAGTTGAAGCGAAAGACGACGGTGTTGAAGACGAAATATGTGACGTTTAGTTTTAGCAGTTGACTGACGTCATAGTTGTAACGTAATTAAGATCTTATTTGAAAATAAGGTTATCAAATTTGTGAATAAGCATTAGGCGCCATTTTTCAATACTACTTATGGAAAAATTATGAAGTGCCTTTGATTAATGGCAAAAATGTAGGCTGGGTGCTTCACCGATGGTGATGTCGAAATCTCGATTATTGATGAATATAAAAATCGAAATCGGAGCGCCACCTACCGACACCAAGTTGTGATAGGGTCGACGATCGGTGGTTCGCGAGCACCAACTAGTGACCGCAATTTTTTTGTTAATCTCATGGGAGACTTGTTATATTATGTGGGAGATAAATGGAGAGATAGAAGAAATTTAATCCTCATTTTCGAAATAGAAAAGGTTCTAGGGCGCATGATGTCGTTTTTAGTGATATTATATTTATGAAAATAAGATGTTCAGTAATGTCATGTTCCAATAAAATAAATCGTTATTTTACTTATCAAATAAAGTCGATATGAAACACATCTTAAATCAAAAACTAGTTTTTTTAGTCGCCAATACTTACCCCCCAAATGGCTGAAAATATGAAACACATTTTGCCGTAGTTGTGTAATCAGAAAACTTCGTCAGTAGCATTGATGGTGTAACTAAGTATATAAAGAAAACAAAATTCTGTAAAACAAGTAAAATGTTATTCATCCCAATGATGATGGGATAAGATTCTTCATATTTATCCCCGGAAGAGGAAAGACTGTTTAAATATATGGCGAACCACGGTCTCTCGTCCGGTTACCATTACAGGTATTATTTACAGATGACTTGAGAGTCAAATGTCACACCTAGGTCGGGTCCAAAAGCGTAGCCAGTCCAATCTTTCATGGATGTAGGCTCTCTTTTTTCTAGCACGATGCTTATTCACTCTTTTGATCGGGTACCGGGCCATATAGTACCACTCATCGGGAATACCACGGCCTCTCATCTGGGCAGTGGTGAGCTGTAGCCGGAACGCATATGCATTTTATTGCATTTGCGTTCCTGTTGCTGAAATAAAATTATGGTACAAAAAGTCTAGTTTCTCTGGTAAACTTAGTTATTAATTTATGTTTTGTTTCATCATAATTCGTAATTTTATTACATCACATCAGACAAATAATTAGTACATCAGCAACGGGTAAAAGATGTTTTCACGATCTATGACTCATGGAAATTCATTCTATGCCTTCCAAATAACAACATTTGTATTTAACTGCTATGAATATTTGTGTAATTTTACACCGACGTATTTCAGATAATTTCTTCATATTTCATCGCAGTTCTTCGACCCCATCCTAGGACAGACAAAACTTTCCGTAAACATCGGCGTTGTGCAAATTAGGTGCGTTCCGGTTGTTACAATTTTTCCAGCTCATCACTGGGTAACTGATCATAAAATCATTCTCGCGCTTCCTCAACAAACAATATTGTAAGGTTCGCAACCAAAACATCGACTTGAGTAATGTAACTACGGCCAACCGTTAAAATGCCAGAAGGTTGACAACTCAATTGGTTGCCGGTCGTGCTCATGTCATCCGACACCGTAAAATGTCTTTCTGCTATCATACCCGTCTTAGAATGATGTACGAGAGACTGCGACTGTTAATATAATTGGGCAGTCTTAACAGGGTTTTTCCTTAGCGAGTGCAGGAAAATAAGACGTTATGCCACAACGGTATTTTCCGGGGATGGGGCAACATTCGGATCCGGACTCGTATTCGAGTCGAATCCACATATTTTTAAGAATCGGATTCGATATCGAGTTTACGGCATTTTACCGAATCCCTAATCGATTCCGATTTTATATTATATTATTCACCTATAAAACTGCTAGAACAAACAATATATAGTTGAAATTATATACATGAATCGGTGCTTCCGAAGTATGCGAACCAAGATGGCGGACATCGGAACGTAACATGGGTAACAGGTTAGGGTTAGGCGATAATTTTTTTCCAATTTTCCTTATTTTAGTCCTATTATCAGTTCGAAGACTAGCCAAGAGCCTTCCGTAGTATTTATACCTAAAATTATGGCCTAACCCTAACCTAGTACACATATTACATTCCGATGTCCGCCATCTTGGTTCGCATACTTCGGGAGCCCCCATGAACCTTCAATAACATGTAGGCAGGTTCTTATTACGAAAATTTTATCTCTCCGTCGCTAATGAAAAACTTCATCAAACTTTTAATTTGATATTCTATCTCTATATTACATACTCGTACATTGTGTCAATAAACATCAGCGCTTCTCGGTACATGAATCCAAAAATAAATTTATATATATATATATATATGTATATGTGTCGCACTGTATATTACGACTTTATGGTTCGCACAGAAATAAAACAATTTCTACCATGAGTAAATGTCCGCTTGTGCCTGATTAATGGAATAAGTTGGCACTTTTATATCATTATGAAGCAAATATTGAATCGACTCAAGAAGTCATTTTATAAATCGATTTTTCAAATCGAGTTCATAAAGTGCAACTTTTCTCCTGAATGGACAATAAATTTTGTTTAGGTGAAAGCTCATCGTCAACTTCAGAATTAGTGACTTTAGAATTTTTGCATTAACTACTGTGGTAATAGCGGCTGTACTATATTTTGAGAAACAGTGCCAACTAAACCATTCGCAAAAGTGACATCGTAAGACCACCGCTAAACTGTTTGAGGTTTGGCATTCCGAAATTTCTTGTTTCAGACGGCAACGTCAGATCAGCTACCCCTCTTTCAAGCTGACGACCAGTGTTCCCTCTAAGAAAATGTTACACTGAGCAAATGTTTGTTTGACTGGCAAGAATATTTTGACGCTGAGCAGAGTCCTAAATGATTTACAAAATTTGTGAAATATTGGCAGAATGCGAACAATATACACATTTACCTCAAAAAAAAATGATTGTAATGCGACACCGACCAGCGCTGTAGACTCGACTAAAATAGCCCTTTCCAGATGATTCAAGAGAAATCAAGGTACGTAACAGACACGTGTGTGACATGACAATTAACAGTGGCAATCACACGTCAAGCATTGAACGGGCAATGGCCCACTGATGGGCCACACACACATTTACAAGGGGCCACAGATCTATTAAAAAGTGCTAGAGTTGTTGATATATTTAGTTAAATTTGATGGAAGTAGCAATGAATGATGATGCTGATTTTGTTACGGGTGCCAATTTTCTCCTAAATATTATCAAAGTGTAAGAGTCTATTTTTGCAGAAAAAATTGATTATTTTTCTTTTAGTTTTTCCTTTGGGTGGAAAAGTTAATGGGCCACAGGATTTTTGTGCAACGAAAATGGGCCACGAAAGAAAAAGGTTGCGAACCGCTGAGCTTGGCGTTATAAAATATGACGAGCCACGCTTCGAAAACATAATGATGCAAGTGCGCGAGAATGAGATTTTCATACGCAAATCGCCCAGCGCACCTCAGAGGGAACTTTGCTGACGACTAGCGTCTTGCGTATTAGATTTATTTGAAGAGTGTCATGTTAAATGTAGCCTACGTAGTAACATACATTAGTAAATATTACGTACATATATATATACGGCTATGAGCTAGGCATTAGTCTTAGTCTTTTTCAACACTATTTTTCTCTAGTCGCGATCGATTCACTGATAATGCAACGTTTTTTTGTTTTATTATATATATCTATCATTCTTCCAAATGAACCAACCGAGATAAATGAAACTGCGCTCCTGTATAGCTTGGATAACTTCGACATCGAAGTAAGTCTATGGAGGCTTCATTCAAGGTATTAATATATCTGTGACTGATTGTACCTGACAATTTTTGGAGCAAAAGGTACGACTTAGCTTTGCAAGCTTATTACAATTAATTATAGTGAGGCAAAATCTACATAAAACCATGCGGAAAATCGCAGCAGTTCCTTTATGCATACAACTCCAGAGATCATACCCAATGTGCAGTCGGCACATGTTTTTACCGGTATAATTGTCTGCTAATTTTATTATATATTAAGTCTTCTAATAACTGTGGAACCTACTCATAACAGTAGGCTAAATATAGGAGAATTAAATTTGATAACTCCACGTGGTCGTGCTGCTTCCTGCAACATGTGCCAAAAAACATTGTGTCTGTTATAATATTTTTATTTCCGTTGATGACTAATAATGGGTTTCAAAATTTTTAGGACTGTGTTCTCCAACAATGGGTTCTGACATTTCAGAAAATGTATGTGTGTCATTATGTGAAATACAATAACATGAAACGCTTCACATAAATCTAATACATAACTTTCGATTTACCGAATATAACGCCGGTCATGAGTGAGTTGAAATATATATGTGTTACATGTTCGCTGCGATCTTCCAGTTTCTATTATTATTATTATATTTTAAGTTATGACGCTTCTAATTACCAGAATGCCAGACTGAAAATAATTTTCTAGACAAAACAGGTCTACATAAGTCGAACATACTAATGGAACATTCCACCTCGATAAATTGTAGTATAAAATAGCCTATGTTACGGAATTTATGTAAAACACAAGCAACGCGGAGAAAAAAATAACTTAATTACAAAGGGAATAACTTTTGGGCCAGAGAGTAGATATTTAATTCGAAATGGAATATTTAAACTATGTGCATAATTTATATAATTTATAAGTATTTTTCTCAATAATATACTTTGAACAAAATAATAAAAAATCCAACTTCTTAAACTGAAACCATTTCGCTATTTATCACGACTTTTCAAGAACGGGTTCGCGCGAACCCACGATTCCCACCACTGGACAACAGTAGTAATTGTTTTAGCATTCGGGAAAGAAATTAAAATATTCATAATTCATTTGCATCTCACTGCTTGGCGAATCAACGAATATATCTATCTTACTGTTATACTCAGCTATCCTATAGCCTACCTGAATTGCTACACAAATCCGCTTCGAAACAATTTAATCATTACCTGCTATTGTCGTTCTGTGTCATGGGCGTCTTATCGCGGAGTCTAAACATCTAGTCCTCTTCAATACTGTTTGTAGAAGTCATGGAAACTCAACGTAAAGTAATCAATGCGGCACAAGTAGTCGCGCCTTCTCGACGATATCCTACGACCTACGTTATTCGTTAATTTCGTAGTTAATGATTTAACCAATTTCCATTAAATCGAAACAAGCGTTGTGGTTTGAAAGCAGACTATGTCATGTTGTCTATAAATCTTGATTTAGTAAATTAAAATAAATAAAAAAAATTGTCACTGAGACGCACTTGATGGGCGTTGCTGGTTGAAGAAGTTTGTAACAGGACATTTTTCGTTGTTCGGGTCGATTCGAATTTCCAATACTTTCGCCTCAAGAGGTGACGTTAGTCTCAGTCGTACGAGAATCGCGGCCTCTCGTCTGGCCAGAATAGTTAACCATTTGATTGTACCAGATGCACGGATCAGGGCGGTGAAAGAAGTATAACGCCCTGCGGTTAATGCTGTAATGGGAATCAATCCCTGCCCAGCGATCCTTTCGCCCGTAATCGTCACCGAACGTGATTCCAGTCTGTGATGGGTAAACAAGGGTGCGATGCAGATGTTTTAACGCCGATTCGCCCACCGTTTAATAGACCAATTTTTATAGTCACAATTAATACCAGTCATGTTTTTCTGAACCTTCAGAAGTATGTGTACCAAGACGGCGCACAACCTGAACATAGTATGTGCACCAGGTCAGGGTTCAGGTTGGGCGCCAATACTTCGGGAGCGCCGTTTTTCTTTGAAGATGCCCCTCGAGGCTCTCACCACTGTGGGGGGTAGCATTTCTTCGGCGGTGTGGCTCATCGTGCTAAGCGTTAGGAATACGCTTGCCGCCGCACCTCTAATTACTCTGCGTGGGTTCGCAGGTTCGAATCCCATGCGGGATGGTTATGTGCGAGAGGATTGCTGGACTCCTCGTCGCCGTAGGGTGGTTCACGTAACCGCTGGTCGGTTACGGCCTCCTCCACCAACAAGTCCATGCTTCCGAAAAGCAAGTAACTAATCCCATACCCGACATGGAATGGTAACTTGACGAGAGGCCGTGGTTCGCCATACGTATAAGCCGTCTTATCGGCTTTCCTCCCCCCTGGATATATATATATGTAAATCCTATCTTATCCAATTCTATATAGTTGAACTTCCTCGTCCAATTTCAGTCTAGACTAGGTCGCCTGTTTGTGAGACAAGGCCAAGCGCAACCAGCGAATAGAATCGGGAGAGCACAATGCAGTTAAAATGACTCAAAACAGAAATTATAGTATTTCATTGAAATGAAGTAACTGTTCAGAGATAATTTGCATGCACAGCACCATTACCCCGCCGACCATTCAGAATTTGTGTGTAGCAAAACTACAGACTACATCAGGGTGGTCCAAACCCAGGCCCGCGGGCCACATGCGGCCCGCCACATCATTATCTGTGGCCCGCGTCGCATTCGGAGAGGAATCAAAATATCGCATTTCGTGTTGTTTTGTCATAAAATTAACCAAAAAATCTTTTGACATATCGTTGCATCACTAATGTCACTGAATTGACTAGTATTATGGCTTGCTGAGGCAACCAGCGAAGTTAAACGAGCAAAGTTCTTGACACTATTGTGGCCCGCGAACAATGCAAAAGTAATTTTGTGTCCCGCTGAGCTGCCAATCTTGGACTACATCAACCGCCTGCCTTCCAAATCTAATTAGTCTTCTGCAATGGTACTCATAAAGTACGTACATTCGCTGTCTTTGGAATAAATATTTCCTTTCTGGTTTGTCATGCACCAACCCATATACTGGAGGGATCAGAGTTCGGGTTAAGTATCTGGACGCAACAGCACTCTGGCAAATTTTCTAACCAACAACTACAAGTCGGCAAGGTACTAAACAAAACTGCAGTCTGCTTAAAGAATTTTCTCCGTTCTGGCTGACCCGCTCATAGATCTAAGAAATGAAGTCTTTCAAAATCTTGAGGTTGGCTAATTTAGTAAACTGACTCGCATTTTTATTTTTGTAATAAACAAGCAACAATTTCCACACGTCAGTTTCACCAGACGACGAAATTCAAACAAATGCCAACATTTTAGTAATAAAACCAATAACGATGTATCAAAATATTACAGAAATGCATGAAATGGAATTTTGACTACAAGCGCAAAAATCAGCACACCTCGTTTTAACCATTCCTAAAAAATTCCAGATTTTGAATATCTTGAAGATATTTGAAATCTTTGAAAGTATATTTTCACATTGGCAGCTTTCCACTAAAGAATCCCTGACAAAATTCGCCAAAATAGCCTTCTTATTGAGAACCAGTAAACAGGCAGTAAGTATTCTTAATAATATGGCTCTGGATGGACATCCCTGCATGATCTTCTCATCCTGTTCCAAGTTGCTGCAGCCGACAGTCAGCATTAAATTCATTCTCTGTGCTCAGTCTTGCATGTCTTCGTACATCTGCTGTCCAATCTAAATAAATCAATATGTAAGGTCCCAAGCCTTAAACTAAAATTAGAAAGTTACTGATAGAAGTGTAGAAGCACCACCGACACCGAGGGAGAGTAGCATATCGAGAAAATTCTTGGAAAATATTCAGCAGAGAACCTTCTTTTTTTTTAGCTCGGCGTAATAAAATTTATTCCACTCTCGAGGTGCATAGAGTTCAAACACAAAATTTTTCTGGTACTCTCGTAGTGTGTGTACCCGGTTAGGATCAGGCCATAATTTTATTCCGATTTTCCTCATTTCAGTTGAATTACGAGTTCGGGGACTGTCTGTGCTAATCAAGTGAATATACCACCTGCCCATAAGCTTCCGATCTTTTACATAACTTGATGTAGATTAAATTGACGAAAAAAATTGTTACCTCCATATTGGTACACACACTTCTGGAGCGCCATTTTTTCTTTAATAAAACATAAAATATTGCATACCCATACCTCAATATAAGCAGCTTTCTCAACAGAAGTCATGAGTTGAACAAGTTGTTGGCCTTTTTGAGCAACTTCACTGTAGCTATATGGTTTCCCGGCAACCATTATTACAGGGTCATTGTCATCAACTTCTTCAAAATCGTCATCATCATCGTCCTCTTCATCACCATGACGATTTCGGGCAGTATTTTCACCATCAGATTCGCTTGTGTCAGATCTGTATTTATCAGTGAATAGGTTTCAGTCAATTCGTTTTTTAAATTGCTCACAGTTTGAAGTGATTCCGAGGCCAATTAAATAATTTTCATTCGTTACACTGGGGCAAATCTACAGAGAGAAGGGATTTTAATATGTCAACACTACCTCTCTGAACAAAGTTCTAGATAAGTAGCCAGCGAGCAAAGTCAGGAAATAAAAATAGCTGAATCTTTCCTGTTTGTAATACTCTACCCAGACGATAAGCCCCTGTTGAGGTGGTAGAAATCGGAACAGAACTTAATATCATCCCTGATATATAAGACAGTAAAACTAAAAGCTTGGTGACGAGAAAGACAAATCGACACTTTCACAAATAAACTCCGTAAAATAAAACAAAACACTTACTTTCCACCATCATTGTATCTTCCAGACGATGACTGACCGTGTGTTGTATTATTTCTTCTTTCTTGCATCATAAGCATCTTGAAATACAATTGATAGATTTTCTTAGAAAATGATACACTCTCGCATTCAGTATTCAGCCTAACTAATTTGCTAAACAATGAGAATGGTAATAACCTGTGAACTCAATTTTTAATATTTTGAATAGAGCTGAGGATTCTTGTGTCAGAGTAAGAGTCGTGTTTAAGTAAATCGTATTGAGGAACTCTCCAAAGCACAAGTCCCAGTGTCAGGAATCAAATCAAATTTTTTTATTGAAACTCAAAACAACAAAGTCGGGTAAGCGTTTTTATCAGTCTATTAAAGAAGCCTTTCATAAGCCATAGTTTTTGTTAGAAAAATTTGATTTCCTTGGGAGCCTGAAGTTCAGTCAAAAGTTTTTTCAGCCCAAGCCCGAATTACTGGTACAAATATTGGTAACCCAGCGAAATGATCAGGCAATCTTTTTACATTCGATAAAATTCTATCCAAGTGGAAATATATGGAAACAGACAATAATTATTGTCTTAAAAAACTTACAGCCAGAACTTCATCGTTTTCATTAGTATTGTTTCCACGAGTTGGAGATTTTAATCGATCTTGAACACTCGATGTCCCTCCTGATATTGACGATATTGCTGCTGATGTTGCATCAACATTTTTATTAATTGTGCTTTCTTGGATCCAAATAGGAACCTGCAGAAAAATGTGACAAAAAGAAGAATGTTTTAATACCTGGAAGCCAAAGAACAGCTGAGTAGGGGGTAGCTGAGTAGCTGAGTACTTTCAGTTGGCAGAATACTTGGAATACATACACCAGGAACGTACAAAAAACAAAACTATGAACTGACAAGCAAAAAGACAAAGTCAGTATTTATGAAACTCTGCAAGGCAGCCTTTGGGGTCAATAGAGGAAATTCTTGAGTTCATTTTACAAATGCCTTGTGGTCCACTGGCCCTAATAAAAAGAGGATTTGGGAGCATATTATGTCAAAGTTTCTTTCTATATCCTTTACTGTAGTTTTGAAAAGACTACCACAAGTTTTAATAACTCAAATATCCAAACCCTTGCTCTACCAGCAAGAAAATAATGTAAAAACAATAAAATGGGTAAATGCTGAACTAGATTGATAGCAGCCTTTTATATAAAATATAACACTTTTATTATCTGTTGGTACTTTTTGGGAGTATTGTTCAGATCAGTGAGAAACAATCTATCAAACAATTAACACAGAATTTGATCATCCGCCTATAACTTCAACTTTAATTGTGTATAAGTGGGAGAAATAGGATCCCAATCTTACCAAATAGGATCGCATGGTTAACAAAAATATTTTAGCTATAAGATAAGTTCGCAAAAAATCAACCTCAAATTTATCTCACTTAATGAAATTAATCATCAAATTGAAAACACCGATAAAAATAACAAATATTCACACTCTGAACAATGCTATGCACAAGCAACACTTGAAGCCCAGAAACATTTTGAAAAAAACTGAAATATTTCAGGTTTAGCTACCAGTTCAGGTTATCCTGACTAATAATATTTTATGATTTGGATGAGTTAGAAAAACAGGGTAGATGTTTATTTATTCCAAATGGGGACACTGAAATAAAAGTTAAACAATTTACCTCTTTAGCTTGTGTAGTGTCTTCTTTAGGATTATCACCAATATCAATAATAACATCTTGATGATAATCCAATCCTCCACTTTTAACATCAGTCCAATGACCAGATCCACTTTTATCAGCGTTCCCTCGCTGTCGAGCTTGGGATGGTTTTGCACTGTGAAAAGAAAAGGAGTGAATAGCAAGTTCGTAAATTTCCATTTTCATGTATGTGTATCAATATGGAGGTAACTAATTTTGTTAGCCTACTTTAAATCAAGTTGTGTAAAGGGACTGAAACCTATGGGCAGGGGGTATATTCACTTGGCTAACACAGACAGTCTCAAACTTGTAGAACTAAAATAAGGAAAATCGGAATGAAATTATAGTCTAATTAACCAGAACCTGGCAACTCACATAAAACATACAATTTCATCATTCAGTGGATAAAAAGCGCAGTTTTAAATTGTAACAGCCCAGGCATATCCAAGACCAAAAATAAATAAATATATAAAAATAAAACAGTAAGTTCAAATTATAACATATATTAAGAAAACACCAACTAGAATTTCATGCACCTCGCATAAATATTAAAATCATCTTTCATTTGAAAATAATTCTGTACACAATCAAAATAATCAAGTAGTCAACATACTTGGGATGAAGGTGAGGTATAATTGTAGGTTCTGGTTCCAACACTTCTATCGATAAATTAACATTTTCTGTTTCTCGAAGTAATTTATAAATTGGTTCCATCTGTTCATTGAATTTAGCCTGAAAAAAGTTTAAAGTGTCGTGAGGCAGAAGTACACAATATGAAGGATTTTTAGATTTATCCGGGAGTAGAGAAAAGTCTATAGTTCAATCACAGGGAAAACCACAACCTACAAATCGGATACTAGTCTATGTCATGTATGAGAATAGTTACGTAAAAAATAGTTATTTCAGATGCATGGACGTTACAGTAAAGGAAACACTCAGCAGTTCAATAACACACAATTATGCCCGCCAAGAATTGAAGCTGCGAACCTATAATGGGTGATTACTGGAGCGATAAAAAGCGTGTTCCTATCGCTTCGCACATTTTCCAAGCAGCAAGGCGAGTTTACAAGATGATTTGATAACAAAAAAAGAAGATATTTTCAAATTTGATGATTGGAGCATGCCAAGTGCTAAAATTGTTCTTGTCACCACTGCATTACTTCGCAGAATTAAAACCAACAGGGGATAATTATGTGTGCAAGTATTGCTTAGGTCCCAAATACACTAATGGGCTATCTTCATCATATATATCCAAGCGTCTGCCTAGAGCACCCTACATAACAGTGGCTGCTCAACCGCATCTTTGCTTGAAACGAACACTTTAATCACCTCACAAAAACATTTAAGATATTTATTTAAGACTAAGAGATTCTAAATCTACAAAAACCAATTAAATAATTTCAAACTCAAATCCAACCTGTAATGTTCTGGAATCTTGTGCTGCCTCCGCTGAAACATCTTCTTCCACTTCAGATTTACAATACGTACAATTTAACGTTCCTAATTGAGTAAAATCAACAATGTATAAGTATTTATAGTATATATTGAAAAAAATAAAGTATGAAACTGGAAACTTGACAAATCCAAACTTGAACCAACTACGATGCCACCCTAACTGAGCTAACATGTTTTAATTTATAAGCACGTTTAATAATCAATGTGAGATGTTTAGGGTACTCCCACAGTGTGTGTACCAGGTTAGGGTCGGGCCATAATTTTAATACGTTTTTCCTTATTTTAGTGATATTACGAGTTCGAGAACTGTCTGTGTTAGCCAGGTGAATATACCCCCTGCCCATAGGTTTCAGTCCCTTTATACAACTTAATGTAAAATAAGCGAACAAAATTAGTTACCTCCATATTGGTACACACACTTCTAGAACTCCTGTTTTTGTGCTATCAAATGATCCTAACATGACTGAACACGCATACCATTAGTTGTATTTTACAATCAGTGACATACGTAACACTTCGTTGAAGTTGTGACTTGTAAGGTCATATTTTTTTCATAAACCACTGACAATCTAATGTGATGTCATATTGAATTTCCATTGAACAAATTATTACACCATAAAATGATTCCCTCTTCAAATTATGCATAAACTTACGAAACAAACAATAATCAAGTATAATTGGTAACAGGTGATTTAAAAACAAGTTTAAGAGCTAAAATGATAATTGTCATGAAAATGTGATGTCATTATAAGTTTCTAGTCACGAGGGGAGCCTGGCCCATCTGCCTCGCTTCTCAGTATACTAGCGTACACAACACTAAGTTCGTTTAAGTACTTACCTAGAAATGGGTCGATGAGAAGTTTAATATCGAGATCAGAATAAGTGTTTTGACAAGTTGGACATCGAAATGATGAACGATTTGTTGAATCTCGTTCTTGCGTCTCAATTTTCTTATGAATGTGATGAAGCTAGAAAAAGCATTAGATTATTACCCTACCATACACGAAGCGAGTCAAGTCGAGTCAATCACTTGAAGTATGACTGGTGATTAGTTGAGTATGATGTCTGTGTCATTTGAGTATTTGATAAATGGTGACCAGGGTCCAACCAGAGTCGAGTTAATGAATCGAGACCCCACGAGTGGTGAAACAAGCTATGTCCAAGCGGCGTTGTTCTTCTTTCATCAACTGTCTAGCTTTCAGCATACAAATGACAGCTGGCCTACATCCTTATTAGGAACAGGAGTCAAAAACAACTCTTCCAAATTAAAATATTCAGTATTAGTACAAACACATATTTAACATAAAATTAAAAAAATTTGCAACGAAAAGACAAGAAAGAAAGAAACAATTTACTTGCTAAAAATTATTATTAAATACTTTACTCGTCTGAAAAAGACTGTGTATAATGAAGTAATAAAGTAATCTAAAGTAAATGAACATGAGAATATTTACCTTATATTTAATTATGTTGCAAATGCTTCTATAATTTATATAATAATAATTGTGACGAAGTACATTCCCATCTGGCTGTAAACAGAGATTTACAAAAAGTTTTTTGTCTGTTAATAGAACAATTAGATGATTAACTCGATTTGTATTGCACAATGGCCTAGTGTTGGGTTCTCAAATATCCCCGGATGCGGCTGTATAAATTATACTAAACGAAGTGTAATTATTTAATCCTTTTAGTGAGATGCAACCATTTTTTGCATTCGTTCATTGACCCCTGACCCAGGCTAAAAGCATTGGAATGAATGAACTATGCCTGCATCACAGGTTCAAGATCTCAGTGTAATCCCGTACCCAGCTCCTCACATGAGGTGTATTAAATTGGGTAGGCAGGTTGTCAAATGACTGCCAAAAATATATCCTGCCTATGGTATGTGAAATTCTTTTTGATTTTGTCTTAATTCGGTCTATTTTAAGTATGCGATATCACCCCTCCAGGTTTATCCCCCATAAAAAGCAATATTGCCCACTTTGTTAAGCACTGCTCTACGCGATATATTCTAAGCAAATGATTTTTAAGTTACCTACTATGGAAAGGTATATAATCTCACTATATCACACTTTAACCTATAATAACAAGATTGCTATTTATCATCTTTACTTGAGTTTCAACGCAAAGTCTTGCTTTCAAAATTTTATCATTCTTTAGAAAAACCAACATTGCTCGTAGTTGTTTCTTGTCCATTTTTAAAAGTTCCTGAAAGAAAAATAATCACTTTTCAAACACAGTATACAGATTTTGATGACCCCGATAGCTAAATCTAAAATCTAAAAAAAATTATTCTAATTGTAAAATTCAGAGTTGTCAGTAAAAATCCCCAAAAAACTTTGTTTACTGACACAAATATCACATTTATGAAATATATAACGATTTATGCACTACTTAGTATATTTTGACCAATCAAGCGTGCATGCAACTAATGAAAATCCTAAAAATTTATTAATAAGGATAAAATGATTTATATATGAGAGTGCCAAATTGAGTTGCCATAAAAACAATCTTTTTTTCAATTGATGAATGCTGATGGCTCAACTTTCGATGAATCATCATTATTGTTCAGAATGCCTCCACAAATACACTGACGGGTCAAAAGTGGCAAGTTTGAACCCTAACCCACCCTCTTCCGTGAGAGTAAAAAAAAAGGGTTAAGCTATGCCAAACTGGACCTCATGAAATCAGAAAGTCCCTAGTCCTTACATCTATATCCTTATTATATGAGATTTATTATAAACAAAAGTGTGTAACTCGTAAAAAACATGACCAACTTGGATGTCATCTTCCTTCACACATGCGTTTCGAACAAGTACGTCGATAACTAGGCCGTGTTCGAGTCCATAGAATCCTCTTGCAACATATCTGAAGACAAAATATATAAGATCATGAAGCTGTATAGCTCCGAGAAATAAATAATGTGTCCCACTTTTCCACACTTGAAAATAGTTTGAATTTCATGAGTCTAGATGTAGACTAACACAAATGTAACATTTTTACATTCGTGTTAGTGTGTAGCAAGACTCCACAGCATCTTTGCATTATGAATGCACTTACGCAAAGGTATAGCGTAAGAAAAAGTAGATATTCTTGTGTAACCCAAATGATAATTGAAAAAAAGTAAGTAACATTAACCTGATAAGTCTCTGCAGAGCATCGGGTACTTCTCGTAAAACTTCAGATTCATTTTCTAATGTGTTGGACATTTTACTTAAAATCAGACTTCTAATTTGGAATATAAATATTATTCTATATTACATATTGTGAGCACCCCTGAAAAACAAAAAGTAAGAATATTGAAATTTTGTTGGTTGTGCGACATTAAATAGAATAGAAATTCACATTCATTCTGATGGAGAGGAAAAATACAAGATAACTTAGAACACAAACCAAGTGAAACCATAACCGGTGGAATATGCCAAAACCATGAAAATCATTTCAACTCCTAGCCATCGTAAACATTTGTCCACATCCTTGTTTAGAGAGAATATAAAATATTACTACTAAAAACAATTTCCAATTTATATTTGCTACTCTTCTTGAGAACAACAAAAAGGGCGCTCCCGAAGTATGTGTACCAAGATGGCGCACAACCTGAACCTTAACCTGGTACACATAATATGTTCAGGTTGTGCGCCATCTTGGTGCACATACTTCAGGAGGTCCCAAAAAAAATAAAAATAACATTGGGAGTTCATAATTTCTTTCTTATATGAGAAAAGTTATACAATTAAACTTCCAAAATCCTACAAGTGAAAGTGGTATTGAAAATGATTCAATATCGAAAAATTTGTAAGTAGGTGGACAATCATTATAATTTTGGTGATCGTTTTCAGTAAATATTAGACCCGTGTTTTAGAAATGTAACCATTTCCATAAAATAGAAAGGAGGAATTTTAAAATGGAATTTAGCGCTTAAATCAACGATGCAAAAAGTGGGTGCGACGCAGGTTTAGGTCATTTTTATGTGAGCCGAGTTGAAGGCTTATGATAATAGAGTACTCTTTAGAAATCAAAAAACCATGACATTCAACAGAAATTTTTACTTCGCTTGATTGATATTGAGTTATTTTTTCCACATATTCGATTCAACCATGGATGCAAAAAGTGGGTGCGATATAAGGTGTGTACCGAGCCACAGGATTTTGATAACAGAGTTCTCTTTAGAAATCAGAAGTCCATAACAATCAACAAAAACGTTTTCTTTGCTTGACTGATATCGAGGAGGTTTTCTCACATATATTCTATGCACCTAATACAGAACTCTTACTCTAAAATCGATTTGAAGTATAGCATGCATGAAAGTATTTTAGAAAGCAGGCCTAGGATTGCAAAATATTTTAGTTGAAATTACTAGATTTTGAGTACTACTGATGAAAAATACTATGTAAAGCAATGGAGATAAATTATACTTGCATAATATACCATGATTCCAAATGTTAAGTTGTACATAGAGGAAAGGATAATTACCGATTTGTCACAAAAACAATATAGCACAAAAGATATTATTTCAAAAAGCAGGATTAGGGTTGTAAAAAAATTTAGGTGAAATTTAGAGATTTTGAGTATGACTGATGAAAAATATGATGTAAAGCAATGAATATAAGAGTTATACAAATATAGTTAACTGTGATCCAAACCCATGACAAGGATTAAGAGAATGAGATGAAAATATCTAAACTGATACAAAGTTTTTCGACTGTATTTAAATAATTACCTGAAAAATACGGGATTGATTCAGTAATAAATTTTAGTGGCAAAATACCAAGTGATGGAAATTAATTTCCTTAACATGTACATCAGAGTTAGAGTAGATTCAAATCATAATATATTCAATTTTTTATAATATCTCCCATATAGTTTTGACCGTTCCTATAAGAAAAATTTTATAAACCTCAGGCAAATTTCATAAGCTTTTGTGTCAATGTAAATGATTCAGCATATAAATTTTTTTAATATATTTATACGCAGAATTACTGAATCTTGAAAATGTCAATTCTCGGAATCAGTGACTTTCTTTTGGGTGATCTGGTTACTGAACATAACATGAAACCATGGTGGGAAAAAATCAGAGGATATTTTTATGCAGGCAGTGCGGCAACCACCCTTTTTATGTTTTATTTAACACAAACTATAAAAATAAAATGTGTTCCGACGGTACAAAATGGCACCTCTCTTGATGCTGCTATAATGAACAACTATTGTATGAACCAGATACCATGGTTTGTGACTTATTCTGGTTTTCTCGGCCTGTCTTCCATCTTGCTGGTTTTGATTGCTTCTGCCTATTGGCTTCAGATACCTGGAGTTATAAATTCATTCAACACTTTCAAAAAAACAGAACATCTAATTGAAGAATTATCCAATGAAAATGACAAGCTGAAATCCTCTGTTGAAGAACCTTTATCCAGAATGTCTGACTGCAGAAGAATTAGAGAGGCTTGGCGCTTATTACTCCTATACAAGTGCGACATTCCTATCAATTTTATTTATATTGCAAGAAATTGTGCTCTCATTGCTGCTATCTTCTTATCATTAGGTATATCAAGCGTACTGGTATGTTTCTTGGCTAAAGATGGCAACACATTTCACTGCAATCCGTTTCAATTAGACTATCTGGAAATGACTGGTGAAGGGAGTCCGGTACCTTATTTTTGCTCACACAGTACTGCAAAACAACTTATTCCTTACTGGGTGGGGTTTTTAGCATCTATGATGATACAACTTGTGTTTGTTATAGTGGGAATGTGCAAAATGAGATATTTACATAGGGCAGTCCCTAGACCAAAACAGCTATTTTCTAGAACCCCTCACAATAGAAGAAACTACAGTTGGGAATGCTGAACATGACAGCCCCGAGAATTACCTTAAAAATATACAAATTTTAAGAACTAATGCAAAGAAAGCATTCCCCTTTATAACATTTATGATTCGCTTCTGGGAATCTTCAAATCCTGGACGCTCTGGAAAATTTTGTGAGATTGTTAAACTCTGGTTTTCTGACGAATCATTGAAAGAATCGGCTAGACACTATACAGATGCCATAACACTTGACAAAAAGAAAAATATTGAATTGTTTTCCATCACGAACGATCTTGAAGACTGGAAAATATTGGAAAAAGTAGAACAAAAATTAAGCGAAAGAAAGATAACAGCAAACACTGCAGAGAAATATCTTCAAAATATAAAATTGAAAATTACTAATCCACATACTAAAAAACTAATGAATATTGCAAAAATAAACAGAAATGGCTTTTTAACAGTTGTCATTATAAATCAATTGGAAGAGACAGATGAATGTGAAAATTTTGTGAAAGATCTAAATCTGGATTTATTGGATAACCATGGCAGATCAATTTTGTACTATGCTTTATCTGATCAAAAATATTTCAGAGCGGCTAAGATTATACTGAAAAGCATGAAAGATGGAAGAACGAAATATGTTCATTGCGACTCCTTTCCTCCTCTTATTGGTTTAGGCAATAAAACCATCAGAGCAGCAGAGTATGTAGAGCGAGTTTACAACAAAATGTGGACCCGTAATGAGGATTATGAATCGCTGAAAGTTCTAATTCTTAAAAGCGAAGAAGGGGGTCCTGTGCCAAGTAAAAGTCAAGAAGCACTGAAGGAACTTTTAAGTAAGTTTAGTATCAAAGAGGAAGTACATGAAAAAGCGAGTCTACAATTGCAGAATGAAGTAGATATGAAAAAAGTATTAAAGCCATTGGAACCTCTCCTATGTGTATTAGCATGCACAATGCTCGAACGGGAATTTTCAACTCTCTTATTTACTCACTGGGATGAAACAACAAAAAAAATTGCAAGATTTGCATATGACAATAAGCTCTGGTATATATTTGTAACATTACTGAATTCATACATTGTAACTGAAAAAAATGAAATTGAAGAAGGATTGCGTGAAGTAGGATGTGGTGTCAGGAAATTTGATATTGGAGAAAATCCTGAAATTCTCATTACTGCATGTGTCAACAGTCCCCTAGGGACAACTGCCCTAGAGCATATACTTGCATGCACTCTTCCTCAGCAAAAGGATCGAAATCATCCTGGCCTGCAGATAATTGATCATACTATTCTTGAAGTTGGAATAAAAGAAAAGATAAAAAGAAAAATAGCACACAGTATGAAAGAAAGATTCGGACAAAGTACAACAAATAAAACAAGAATAAATCTGGAAGAAAATGCTGGACCATCAACATCAAATCAAGAGAGGCAACATAATGTAGAAGATAATGAAACAGAGAATAAAGAAGACGTCAACGATTCTACACCGCTGTACAAAACCTCCCCGGTCTAAGACATTAATTGAAAGCTATCATGTTGATATTTGGGAAACATTATCCAAAGTCAACTAATTTTTTTGATTTGTTGTAAATGCTTTGGCTAATAGATTAGGCCTTCTAATTGAAATATGAAATTCATATGTATCTATATGATTTGATTCAAGATTGTGAAATTGAAGATTGGTATGTTTTCCTTAATATTGGAGTCATAGCCAAAAATGTATTTTAATTTTAAACTCTTTAAAGTAAGAGATGAAGTCAAAATTTCTGACAAAAAATAAAAAAGCTCATCATACTTATCATCATAATAGAAGCATTGTAAATATCAAAAGTTTTTGAAGACACACAGTTTTCCCAAGATTGGAGACTGATATCAGTGTAAAACTTTTGTGATTTAAGAATCGAAAATTGGTATCGTTTACCAAATTTCTCAAACTTTAGTGTAAATGTTCCTGGAATTCATAGGAACTGTTGTCCTCACAGCAGTTTAATATGATGACCATTATTGGATGAATTACTTCAAATAAACAAATCAATTTGCCCCATCTTTTACTGATATAAAGTTACTTAGATGTTTTTTTTTTATCCGTAGAATCACATATTCTGTACTCTGTAGTGTAGATTACTAGACTAAATATAAAACTTGTTTGAAAATAGTTATAAAGATTGTTGTCTTTATTTATAAGATTTCAAGGGATGAAGTCTGCTAGTTGCGTTTCTATGCCTACAACCTAAATTCTGATAACATTAAAAATATCGAAAATATACTAAAATGAGCACCGGAAAGCAAACAAAGGTTTGGTCTATTTGAAGCTCGAAAAGTGGGTGTGGTGCTCGAAAAAGATTTTTTGAAGTTCTATCCCAAATAATGGTTCGAAGAAAAAAGCAAATAGACCACTGTTTGTGATTTTTAAGCTCAATAAAAATATACAGGAGCTCCTATATTGTAAGAAAAAACTTTTATTTTCAAAATTTAAAATGGGAATTCATTATCTTAGGATGAGTGGAAAACCAATTTTGCAGTAAAATCACTTGGCAAACCCGCACTTCACAAGCTGACTAGCTAAGTTGGGATGTGGGATTAGGTAACTAGTTTATCTTTCCGAATGCATAGATTTGTATGAGTGGAGCCGAGCCGCAATTGGCCCCCGGGCCGCGAGTTTGAGACCCCTGTTTCAGAGTTCTGGACCTGCATGATTCCGGTGTATGTGATGCATTATTATAACAGTGGTAGGCAATTACTATCCTGTGCGGAATAGTTACCAAAAAGACTTACTGGTTACTGGGCCGGTGGCTCAAAACTAAATATGAAAAACTTCGAATAAAAAAACAGCTAATTTAACAGCTAGGCTAACATTCATATAATAAGCACAAAAACGTTATTTTCATCGATGATTTCAACGAACATTTGCCCACCCATGCACTACATATAACCACAATACATATAACTTGATATAAATCTCTAAGCACACAAAATAATGATAAAAGTATTATTCCAAGCCATTACATTACATGTCAAGTGTTACCACATCTGCAGAGCTGGAACCGATAAAATTTCTGGTAGTTCAGGCTCCATCTACTATGGTAAGCTTCAGATCAACAACAAAACATCAAGAGTTTACCCATGGCTCCGCAGCTTTGAATGTTACCTATAAGTCTTTTCCAATCCTCAAGATTTGATTGACATATTCCCAAATGATCACTAATCTATCTTCATCATAGATATATCTAGGCAACTATTTTGTTATATAATATAAAAAAAAAATCTAAACAACAAAATTCATATTTTTATTTTGAACTTCTGGCACAATTGGTACCAAAACATATCAACAGGGACGGACAAAACTGACAAAAAATTCCATCTGCAAAAATACGAAATACAACAAGCCATAAACTTCATGAAACAGTATCTGATATAAATAATATTTTTGAACTTGAATGCAAAATGAAAGAACTTCACAAAGCCAAAAACATACATCAAATTTGTTTTCAACTTTTTTAAGCGAAAATGGCGAAAAAACGTAAGATATGAAATGAACACATTTTCCAAATACACATCCATCCACACATTATGTAGACATAAGAATAATTGAATTTGTATATGAATTTCCAAAAATTAATTTTACACCAATCAATTTAGATATTCTGAATGGGTTACAAAATTACACACAAAAACAAAATCACATGATAATCTTCAATTTATCACACATGTTTGAAAACTAACAATTGGATACTACAGCAGTGATGGGATTCAGAATTTCAAGAAAGGGTTCTCTTTCGTATCGAACCCATCAACAACGGATTCCCTAATTTCAGAAAATATATGTATGTCGCTGCATTGATGAGACATTTTTACATAACCTAATAGATAACTATTGAAATAATGAATATAACACCAATTTGGTGTGTTTTTTTAACGCCTAAAACAGAACAGGTTCGCTTATTACCACAACAGTGCAAGAATTTGTGAAAGCCACCTGTATCCCACCCCTGTACTACAGTAATAATTGTTTCCGCATTCAAAAAAAGAAATCAAAATATTCAGAATTTTTTCGAAACACAGACTATTAACAAATTTAATTGTTTTTATTTATATTCAACATTGATTAGAAGATAACAAAAAACTGCAGAAACAGAATCATGAAAAAAGAATATCCAACTAAACTGGTCAAAAACTTTAACAAGAAATAACGTAGTTGTATGTATGTATGTTTTTAAAATTCAAGTGATTGTACCATCAATCAATTTGTTTTCAGAAAGCATAACTTGAACAGCAGCACAAGACATAAAGTTTCTGCATAAGATTACAAAATTATGCCAGGTTGCAATTGTACAGGGTGACCCGAAAAACAGAACCCAGGAACATAACTTTTGTGTGAAACGTCCTAGAATACAGAAATTTCTAGGTACAGTCATACATAAACTGAAGTTCAAGCGTAACGTGATAAACATATGGTTTTCGTGAAATAAATTAACGAATTCATAGGTTCTGTTACTATGAGAAGAGTTAATTGATCATTGTGTTTATAAGTGATATCGTATATAATATAGATACATCAATCCAATTTGTAGATAATAAAACTGGAGCACACAAGTTTCTGAGGCAATGAAACAAAAGTTTAGGGTACTCCTTCCTAAATAAAATAGAAAATCTATGTGAAATATTTGTCACACTTCACATGCTTTTCGAAGGACAAATACATACATGTCAGAAAATTTTTTTCTAAGAACAATATATTGAGAATTTTGGGGAAAAAAAATATGGCTCCCTAAATTAATAGAACTTGTATCGAAATACAAAGACGTAGTAACTGGGTTAGAAGAGTGCCGATGAATGTTCCCCATAAGACGCTCTGCGTAAACTCAGCAAAAAACACTGAGTGAAAATTACATATATTCAACACATATTCAATTATTGCAAAATATTTAAAACTAAATTGACTTCGGAAATGAATAGAAAATGTAACATTGCGTTACTATTGCTTTTTATACTTGTAAAAAATCCTACAATATATAAAAAATTTGTTTTGGATATTGGCTCGAGGCAAGTGATAATTTGGAACTGAGAAGCTAAGGCCATTTGGTGTGGCCCTTGTCAATACTCAGATTTTCCCCCTATCAAGAATAAAATCCAAATCCGTGTTCAAAAAGTTGCTCACAGTCCAACAAGAACTCGAAATTTCAAGTGTCCCACTAAAATGTTGAATAAATAAAATTTTACATTGCGAGAATTCATTAATTCGTTGTGAACATGAAAAACAAATTAAAATATCACTAAATAATAAATTACTCAGATTTGGACATCCTTTGACCTGGTACTGTCAAAGAAAAATCAAAGATATAACATACAAAAACATCAGCAAATATGGTATAAATTTTTCAAATCCCAAAATAAGCACAAACATAACAGCTTTAATCGTTTCAAATGTTTTCGAATGCCAAAACGAACACATTTTTCCAGATAGCAATAACCCTAGCTTCGTAATCAATCACCTTTACATCATTTTAACCTTCATTTGTTTGCTTTTGAACATTTTTTTATCCTTTCGTTTCAATTCTCGACGGTGTTGTATTTCTTCTAATTTCCTCTGCTTTTCAGGGTCTTCCTCATTCATGATTCTTTCCTTCATCGCTTTGTCTTTTTCTTCCTTTTTTATTTGAGCTTCTTCTTGTCGTTTCGCGTGAGTGAGCTTGAGATATGCCATTTCGACTTTTTGACGATTTTTATCTGCTTTTGCTTTGGATTCTTTGCTCAGACGGAATCTGCGAATTTTGTCAGCTAAGTATAACGTCATTTTCATCAGCGGCAGCATTTTTACAATATCCGCTTGTAATGGGTTGCGGCCTTCACAGTGCATATTAAGAACCACAGTAAGTTGCTTAGTTGTTTTTGGCTTATCTGGCTGCTCCTCTTGGTCCATTGGTTTTGGACCAGAGAATTGATCAGAAATATGTAAATAATCGAAAAACTGCTCGTTTTCTTTGATAATTTTCCTCACTTTGACATCAAGAATATTTGCAACTTCGCCCCATAGTTCAGACGCGATACACATATTATCTGGTAGATCGTATTTATCTGCAGGACGCATTTTATCGATGCAGTAATATACAACATCTTGCATATTTTTTTGTAGATTCGCAATGCTCTTTTTATTTCCAACAACTAATACAAACGGGTCCATATCTTCTAACGTGATACTAATCGACACTTGATCTTTTCCCGGCTTCATTTTATCAGCTATGATTGATACTAAATCTTGACGTTTTAGAAGTCGTAACTCGACAAGCATTCCTTCCACACATACTCTTCCAGAGCACCACAAAGTAAAAATATGCTCAGATTCCTTGACGAGTTGTAGAGTACTGACTGCGTTTTTATTTTGAACATCATCCCCAACGAGTTCAAATTGAGATTCTAGAAATTCTTTGTGTATTTTGAACCACCCAGAAGCGATTGTTGAATTCATATATTTCCCCATAAAGAAGTTTAAAATGTAAACACCTATTCCGAAACACATTAGAATTTCTATGTAAAATTTATCCCAACTTCTCACGTGTAAAGGTACGTTAGCGATTTTCAACTCTGGTTTTGCTCCTTTTTTGATTTTACGATCGTTTTCCCAGATAGTATCGTCTCCCTCCAAACCTTCAAATTCCTCCGGATCATAAGTTTCAAATTCAGTTTCACCTTCTACTTCTACAGTTGCGCCGTCATCGTCAAATTCTTTCGCGAATTCATCTGCCTGTTGTTTCTTTTTTTGCGACTCTGATTCCTGTTTCAATTTTGGTTCATCTTGTTTTTTAGTTGGTGTTTCTGTAACAGGCAGAGGTTGTGATACAGTATCTTGCTCGGTGCCTTCGTCGAAATCTTCAAATTCCGCGAATTCATTATCTTCCAAATCAGCTCCGTGTTGGTTTTCAGTTTTCCCGAACGATATCAGGAAACAAAAAAAGACCAAAAATCCAAAATATTTATCACAAAACATGTTTATTATATTATCATACGGAGATAATTATCTGAAAATGAAATATGTGAAAGATTAAATGTATGTAGGCTACATTAAAATAAAAACTGTGATACCAACAGAAATGGCCTGGGTCATTCAAAATCGAAGAATTAACTATTTTGAATACATTCTAAAATCTTACTTTCCAATATATTTTAAAATAGCTCATACTTAACAGATACACTCGCGTGAATTATTGCATATTCGAAGAAACTGAAATTGGCAATGCAAAATTGTTTAGATGAATATTTGTCAAACCGTAATTTACCGTAAATGGCCGTCAAAAATTTTTCAAACAAAATTATTCAATTTACTTCTTAAATTATACATTCACTAAATTGAATATCATCACAAGTTTGAATGTATTCGAATACTCAATTCGTCTTCGACATCCCTGAACATGCCCCAAATCAAAAGTAAACTGGTATAAAAACATCATTTGAAAATTACAAGAACCATCATTTTTAATCTTGGTACAACTTTGTTTTTTTGAAGTTAGTAAAAATCAATGTACCTCAATTAATAATACATTAGATTGAAATTAATATATTAGCAGCAGTGGAAAAAAAGGAGACCAAAGAAATTGCGATACTACTTTGGTATGCAATCTAAAAAATTGTGGGACTCGCTGATTTTTTTTAGGGTTAGGAACTGAACTGAGATTAAATGTAATTAGTGCCTATTTGTTATGCGATTTGACATCACTATAAGTGAGATCACCTACTAAAGAGGGAAAGAAATTCAAATAATCTGAAAATATTCCATAAAAATTATTCTCTACTTTATATTACTCAAACATGTTCATGTGTCCTCGTCCAAAATTGGACATATTAATACCAAATGAATTACAAGCACACTTGATAAAAAAAATTGAGCGCTACTTTGGTTTGCAATCTCAGTGATTTTAATCAGGGAAAGAGTTGGAAACTAGATTTTATGAGAATGTTTTTAAGAGATCAAGCAAGTGAGATCAGACCACATGCCAAAGTGGCACCAAAAATTGTTTTTGTATGATACAAAATGTCTAATGTTTTCATTTCTAGTCTCTGAATATTTGAAAAAGGAAGAAAATAGCACTTTTACAATTTTCTCAATCAAAGAATTTTCATTTTACCATAGAACAAAATTATATTTCATTCCAGAACTACATTTCTGTGATTGAAAGACCCAAAATGATTCTTCTGATGTCCAGACTAATTAAAATATTTCAATATTCAAAATATATTTATGACATAGTAAATTTTTATATTAGACTTAATTTTAGAATTTTTGATTTATAGACAACACTAAAAATAAAACAAAAATTTCATTTGAAAAATCAAAAACCATCAATTGATAATAAAATCACGCCAAATACATGTTTTAAGCTTTTAAATATGATTGAATTTTGAATTAACATTAGAGTTTGCATTTTTAAAGCCGATACCTTGGTGTTAAATTATTAGATTTTAGTCAGCACTGCTTCAAATGAAATCCAAACCCTTTTTAACATATTATCATGGCACAGAATAGTACAAAACTACAAAACATTTACATTTAAAAATAAAAGTATGTTCGTTATACAGAGTTACAAAATGAGTCTTAAAATTTAAATCATTGCTGGTAATTGACAACGAATTAAACTCCTGAGAATTGTGTAGATTGGGATGAGTAGATTTTTCAAGCACGTTCTCCACGGATTCTACGAGCTAACTGGATATCTTTAGGCATGATGGTGACTCTTTTTGCATGAATCGCACAGAGATTAGTATCTTCAAACAGACCAACAAGGTAAGCTTCACTTGCTTCCTGTAAAGCTCCAATAGCAGCACTCTGAAATCTCAAGTCCGTTTTGAAATCTTGGGCAATTTCTCGAACAAGTCGTTGAAAAGGTAGTTTTCTGATAAGGAGCTCAGTAGACTTTTGATAACGCCTGATTTCTCTCAAAGCAACAGTTCCCGGTCGGTATCTGTGTGGCTTCTTTACTCCTCCAGTAGAAGGGGCACTCTTACGAGCAGCCTTTGTTGCCAGTTGCTTTCTTGGTGCTTTGCCACCTGTCGATTTTCTCGCTGTCTGCTTTGTACGAGCCATTTTTCAAATTTATTTTGGTCCTTAATTTATCTGTACCTAATTTCTGAATTTGTACATTTGCCATATTTTCATCAACAATTTCCAAATTAATAATATCAACGAAACAGAATGCTCAACTAGAATGTCTTTCATAAAAGCGGTATAAGACTATACTCAGAAGCTACACAAGCGCAGCCAAAGGAGTAGTTATACTGACACTGCAGCACTGAGTATCGATAACATGCCAATAACTGAACAAGTTTTTACTTGGACAGGCTCGTATGGCAGTATGGCGCATCGTGCTGAGCGTTTGCAATACCCTTGTAATCGCACCTTTGATTAGCTTCGAATCATGTGGGGGGGCTAATTATATGCAAGACTGCAAGACAGGACTGCCACTTCAGCACTTTTGTCTTATTAAAAACAGCTAGATTGACCTCACAATAAATCTGAAAATATTTAGACTGGAAAACAAAACATCCAAAAAATACATCTAAATATGAGGTTACTAAATTTAATGAAAATAAACAAAACAAAAGGTTACAAATAGTTCATTATAATACATTATATTAGATTTTGAAGATTATTTGAAGTTGATGTTGTTGCTACAGTTGCTTCACATGGATTTTTATGTTTCTGCTGTACATATCTTTTTGAAACCAAAACAGGTTCCTCATGTCAGTATGTGATGTGCAACATTGTTAATTCAGTAATTTGAAATTGGGTTAAATTTCAGAATTTAATGATGACTAGTATTCCAGTGAACCTGTCTTTCGACTGTTTCTTATTTTTTTCACAACTTATTGCAATAAATTTTTTCAACATCAGCGTTTAAATAACGTAGCAACATTGCTGTTGCCCTGTTTTTATTTTTCACAGAATAATATCTGGAACGTTGAAAAAAATATATCTAGATTTTATAGCTAACATCTAAGCTCCAAATTGGACATCTAGATCTTGAACATAACACCTAGATCTGCCTCTAAAACATCTGAAGTGCGAGAGGATTTCTTGACTCCTCGCCATCCTATCCTGGGGCAGTAGGGTGGTCGTCTGAAAACTAGTAACTTCGGTAATCTGCAGAGCCGGGGCTCTTTTTTGGACACGTAGTGGACATAACGATCGTTTCAATATTATGTTGTTGTTGTTGTTGTTCTTGTTCTTTGACACGTTTTTAAAAAGTCGCTTTTCTCTTCGAATACTGGACCAATTGCTTTGAAATTTTCAGTGGTTAAAGATTAATTTTTTCGCTAGAAGGCTATTTTTTTTATTTATTTCAAAATTTTGCGTGAATTCTATGAAATTTGATATTTCGTCTAAAATTTTGCTGTATTATTTTTTATCCATGGGAACACGGATTTTAGTCAGTGTCATGACTGGCTGTACGTTTTGATTCTGCAAAATTCTTGCTACTGGAAATTCAGAACTTTTTTGAGGGTACCGGTAGCGTCAAAGGTACCGGTAAGGACTGATTCGCTCTGGTCTAACGTGTCCATATATTTGTGCGTAGCTCTCTTGTTTCATTTGTCTTCAGTAATACAAATGAGCCAGACGGGCAGATTTATGGAAAACTTCACCGTACACTAAAATTTAACGGCGTCGTTTTGCAGGTATCGCCGCCTGAAGCTTATCGATAAATTATTAACATATCTAATCTATCAACGGTAAACGCAAATCACCACAGGTCGCCGCCCGACCCGCTTGACAGTCAGTTGCGGCGTGTTTTATAAGTTTACGGGGCCCTCTGCCTATCTTTCAGCATAAGCATACGGTTACTAATATATTCAGCTTGGCGAAATCTTTTTTATTATTACTTATCGATCTTAAGATATCTCACGAAAGCAAGGATGAATCCGCTCCAACGAGAAGCCTATTGATTTTGGATGAATTATGTCGTATAATTAGCGAGTTATTAATTAATTAGTGATGGGACATAAGGTGTCACTATGGAGTAAGGGCGCTGTTTTGGGATCCTCTAACTTTCGATCGATAAGTCTTCGGTCTCTGACCGATATTCTCGTTTCTTCATTATTGCTGTTTATTAAGAACGTAAATTTAGCAATGTTATTAAAATTAGTTCGGGTATTAGTGTCTCAAAGTGTGAAATGCTGGTGATGATACAGCCTTGAGTGAAGAATCAACGTCCATATTTTTCACATGAACACTGTTGTTTTCTTTTCCGTAAAATTCCTTGCAAAACTTACCGTACCCAAGAGACATATTTCCATAAAACCGCTGAACGCTCCACTGAAATCCATGCTACTAATTGTGGACGCTAAAAAAGACATTCTTTTTGCCCGTATGTTTTTGGCCCTTTCTATCTGCACAAATAAGTGGTAGCTCAATAGATTAATGGCGCTCCCCATCATGTATCCAACTAGTGACTATTTTGTCAGCCCATTTGATATTGACATAAAGTCCAACAACTCATCCGAGATACATTTAAGAGAGTCTAGTCATTTTTGAGGTGGTTAACAGTTGGCTTTATTTTTAGGGTGTGGCAATCGTCTTAGTTTGCAACTTCCTTCTAACTAATATGCTTGCGTATATGCATGACGAATGCAACTGATGAATGTTTCAGCAAACATGAACCACTCCGATAGACACTACTGGCTTTTTTTATTCATTACTGTTCATTATGGGAGTTGATACATTCTAATATTAATTTAGAGCTCGACCGATATATCGGCCAACCGATATATCGAGCCGATATTGCGTGTTTGCCGATATATCATATCGGCCCAACCGGCCGATATATCTGGCCGATATATATCAGCGTTAGTCGCTTTTCTACGTTCTAAAAAATGAGTATTTTTCCCCGGGAAATATCTGCGGCCGAGCGTTTTCTTTTTTTACTTTTCTCTCATTTTGCCTTTCAATGAACAGAGAGTTCTCTTCTATATTTCTCTCTTCGTGCGGCGCAAAATCCTCGCCTTCGAATATCTTGCGTCCCCACTAGGCTTGCACGTAATCGACAAAAATCAGTTCCGTAATTTCGGAAAAATTGATTACGTAATGACCCCGTAATTGCGATATTTATTCACACGTTTAAACCTATCATAAAAACCATTCGTATCCACTTCTTTTCCGAATGGGACATCGAAGTTTGGTTTTCATATTACCGACAGTACTACACGCCGGCGCCAGATGTTAAAGACAAATACCAAGGAGTGAATTCAAATTGAATTTATTCTGATTTTTATCTTGTTTAATTGTGTTGGCTTTGATTTTCCTTTATCACGTTCGCAAATTAACCGTCCCAATTTTGTGCGATCAATTTTATCATTACCAATAATGGTATACGGATATTTATGAAACGATAGTTGCCTTTTTTAAAATCGACTTTCGTATTGAATAAAAATTTCGGGTTTCTAAGTTATTAATCAACGACAAGCGTATTTTCTCGTTTGAATATACCTGCGCTTGCCTCGCGACGAAGACTTGTTATTGCTCCGATTTTTTTACATTATCCGACTTTGCTACCTAGTTAGCATTTTATAATAATTATTGATGCTGAATTATTGACGATATTCCGATTACCAAGCTCCATTTTATATCAAATCATTTCGCGGCCTAAATGTTCTAACATTATTTGCGATAAATTTAAATCAAATAATAATTATTTAGCCGGCGATAAATTCTTACCCGTAACTTGTTGTAAATTAATGCTAATAAATTCTATTTTGTTTTTTAATGCGTTGTGATTTGTATTAATAAAAGTGATTGAGTCGGGAAAAGAAAGTAGCCTAGCCTCCTCTCCTATTGAGCGCTTATAGCGGGGGTAAAATTCGTTTCATGTCTGTTTCACGGAGAGAAAGAAAAATACGCCTTCAGGAATTACAATCAACTATCACACATTCTTATTTATCATTATCAGCGCGGAATAAAAAAGATACCAAATCGTGGAGACAAAAAAGTTTGTTGGTGCTAATTGCGTTACGGTGATAACGCTTATAATAATATCGTTTTGACCGTGAAACCAAACGCTCAAACGGGGTGGCAACGCGTCATGCCGACTCAAAACGGCTGCGAATACCGGAACTCTAACTTCTTGTACTTGTTAAACTTTGATTTTTTACAATCGACGGAATTGACTGCTTGGAAGGAGCACGTTTCAAACGCGAAAGCGCTCGACCAATAATTACGACTTTACGTAATTTGTAACTTCCCTTCCGTAACTCCAAACAATTCCGTAATTCCGTAAATTACGTGCAAGCCTACTCCACCTACTACTGTATGGATCAAAATGGACTTCTATAAGCTTTTTACTGACTGCCTTTTTTCTCTTGTGCATTAATGTGTGTTCCTATTATTTGCTGCGAAACTTTTATTATTAATGATGCAAGCACTGTGTAGGACTGCTTTATTTTTCAACATAAACTTTTGATTGACTGAAAGTCCAGTGTTCCCTCTAAGGCAGGGGTCACCAAACTACGGCCCGCGGGCCGGATCCGGCCCGCGACGTCATTTTATCCGGCCCGCGGCGTCATTTTATCCGGTCCGCAATAACACGCAAAAATGGCTAAATTTTTTTCCAAGGAAGATTTTCACGAGCATCGTCGTCCTTGTTTATTTCGTAACATTGGCCAATCGGCAAGATGCAGAAAAGTGACGTTATAATAGGCCTTTCCGCATCCGCTCAGACACTTTTGTCACCCTGACAGATTTTCAGTCGTGGTTGTAGACAAAACTTCGTTTTTGCGACTTTGAATGCTACCAGTACGTAACGTTTTCTGCGATACACTTGTACACCCGTGGCGCTTGCTTTCGACGAAACTGTTGTGCTAAAATAAACGTCAAATGTGCATTTTGTGCTAACAGTACTGTAATCCCTCGCGTACTGCTCCAATTTCAAAAGCCACACTAACTTTTGTACTGCTTTAATGCGGATATTCATGTAGGTATGTTACAAAAAAATTGAAGTTCATCCGATTTAAATAAAAACTGCTCCAGTGGGAAGATATGAGTAAAAATAGAAAACAATACCAAGTTTGGAATAAACGGTCAAGAAATAACGGAGATATCGGAATTTTAGTACCGCCCGACAGCCAATTTTTTCCATAATGATTGTATTACTTTTTTGATAAGAACTGAACTAAATATGGAAAAATAACACATATCAATCACTAATCTTTCGATGTGCGTCACATCTATGATATATTGAGACTATTTCAGGATTTTATTCTGGCAACGGTCATTGACACCGCCGAAAGATCGTCGTAAATAAACGCTGGAGTGCATGATAGTTTGACAGTGGTTTATTGTGGGTAATAATTAACGATGTTCTGATTGTACGAACTTCATAAAAATTGGTAAGTATCAAGTTAGACAAGAAATACACACGTCCATATAAATTTTATTGGTGTCCATAGACAATATCATTAATTTGCACTACGTATAACTGGAGCGTAATTTTTAAAAGCGTCGAATGTTGGGAAATTTATGCGCTAATGAAAAAATTCAAATACCAGATAATAGTTGTTTATTTTATCTAAATTATGTCGAAATTTCATAGAATTCCAAGCTACAGCAGGCAGTCGTTTTTATGAGCGGTATTTCAACACGGCGTAACGGTACTTAGCAGACGTGATGCGTACATTTTTTGCCGCGGATTTTGTAACATTTCTAATTCATGACAGCAACGTTTTGATAACAGCTAAACTCAGGATAGTTGTCTAGATATAGAAATCTTGTTAATTTTTTTTCCTAGGATGTTCTCGATCTATATTCTGCGATATTCCCAACTTTTGTGAATTTATTGTATTGCATTGACAAAAATATTCATCCGGCCCGTTTCAACACAATTTGAGTCATACCCGGCCCGCGGTCAAAAAAGTTTGGTGACCCCTGCTCTAAGGTGTGCGCGTGCACATAGCTTTCAGAGGCTGCGCACACGCATAGATTTACTGCGCACAGACGTATTTCGATGTAATGTAACAATGTGCTTGGTTGGCAGGTTGAGAAAGTTTGTTGTTGGCCCACTTATTACCCGGTTAGAACGCCAAAATTTCTTCATTGTTTTTTGCACAAATATTATTCATTTCCAAAAAAGTGCGCACACACCAAAATGTCTGCGCACACATACTACAAAAAATTAGAGGGAACATTGACTGAAACTTATTTTTTTTTTCTATTTGTATTTACTGCGGGTTCGAGTTGTAGATATCGGTATGTCAATATCGGTTATCGGTCACTAGTTGGCCGATATATCGTTATCGGTATCGGTGCCTAAAAGTGATATCGGTCGAGCTCTAAATATTATTCCCTAAAACAAGTTCAGCATAATCATGGCATGACCTGAAAAAACCACTGTCAAACTCGACATCCGAAAAGAGCTATGAAAAAAGTCTGGTTCTTGTTTTTGGAGTATATTTTGCATTATTGCAAACAAATTATGATGAAACAATGGTTAATCAAAGAGACCGAATCCCATGTCATCATCGGATTCCTCTTCAGATTCCTCCTTCTTTTCTTCCTTTTTCTCTTCTGCAAAACCAATGAGAAATTAAAAGAACTTTGGTGATGGTTCTATCTGGTGCATTAATTAATTGACAAAAAGACACACCACCTAGGAAGAACGAGATAAGTATTCGAACAAAAGATACTTGAGCAAGCCGAGTGTTCACGACTTAGCCTGGCATCAGGTGCGCAATTTTTTTGATTCTATGACGTCACCGCGAACAAAAAACGAATTCCATTAAGCTTACATAAATTCTTAAAATAATTAAAAGTAATAGCCTTCTAGCAAAAAAAAATATTTAAGTCACTGAAAATTTTCAAGCAATTGGTCAGTAACTGAAGAGATTTTATCACAACAACAAGAACGACAACATAACAAAATGAGCTATCCTTATTGTGTCCGATAATGCCCATCTCGTTATCACATTAATATTTTTGCCCAGGCTGTGCAATTTCCAGCACCCAATTTTTTATTTTATGATATCTGTGGCTTTACGTCCACGCAGGCCACACACTGAATAGTAATGGCTAGTGGTAAGCGTTATAGAGCCAGGTGTTCAATGTACCTCCAGGTAAATACAGCAAGTGTTTGTGAGATCGACACATGCTGGGTAAGTCAAGGAGGATATGGCAACTTCGCCATAATAAAGTATCTTTACAATTTTAAATACAATACATATAAAAACCATGACATATCATAGCAGGGGTGTGCAACATTTTTTGTCAACTTCAGACTAGCTGGGCCGCACATAAAATTCAGCGGAAAGACAAGAGAAGAAAATGCAGTTATCGGCCTATCGCTTAGCCTTACATTATAGTAATGAATGCATAAGGCAAAACAACAAAAAATTCACCTTGACGACAAGAGCAAAAAAAATCATCTATTTTTATCCATGTGAGTGTTGACAAGGACCACACTAAATGGCTTAACAGGTCAGCTGTAGCACACCCCTGTATTATAACAACTCTACTTCAAATTGAACGAATAAAATCCGAAAAAACATTTCTATATATTTATTTGAATCTATCACATGAAGCCAATCGCATCACTGTCCAAGAGGGACGGAAACCTGGTCAAAATCTTTCACAATTGGGAAACCAACTCAAAACTTCCCATTTACAAATAACTTTTGGCTATCATTCTAAGACTCCAGGGCATTAAATCATAAATCCCTAATAGGCAATTACACTCCAAATAGCCACCAATAACGTTGAGGTAGCAGTTATTAGTTACTACAAATACTTTTCAGATATATCAATAAAAAAATCATGTAGAAATGTAAGATGACGTACCTTCAGCGGCACCGCCGCCTCCACCACCAGATGCTGCTACAGCACCGCCACCACCAGATGGCACACTTGCCAACTTTTCATTTCCTGCAAATAAAAAAGGGAACAAACGTGAGATCTTTCAAGTTTCAATGCGAGCGAACAGTGCGAGAATCTGTACTTACAAGTAAAAGAATGAAAATTTTAATCTCATACAGATGTAAAAATAAAAGCTGTACATGACTTTATTTTCAATTGAGATACATGCAAAATAATTCATGTTCGATTTTCAAAACTGAACCTGATATTCAGTTCGAAATTTAACAAAAACCAAGTATAGTGCTTGCTATTTGTCATAGTTTGCAAATACTGCATTTTTAATTTTATTTGCCTGTGTCTGCCTCAGAAATTATAAAATCAGCATTTCTTAATCAGTCGAAAGATGGTGATATGTTTTTCTTCATTGGCAAACAACTGTGGCATTCAATAAAAATGAGTTGTTAAATAAGAGTGCCACTGCTCAAACCAGTATTGGTTTTTTTCGAGTCTTCCTTCACCCTGAAATGGTATTCTTATGGCTTCCAGAAGTATGTGTACCAATATGGAGGTAACTAATTTTGTTCGCCTACTTTACATCAAGTTGTAAAAAGGGAATGAAAGCTATGGGCAGGGAGTATATTCGCTTGGCTAACACAGAAAGTCGCCGAACTCTTGATAGAACTAAAATGGGGGAAATCGGAATAAAATCATGGCCTAACCTTAACCTGGTACACACACTACGGGAATACCATTCTTATTCTATTATACATTGTATGTGTATGTTATGTATTTTCAGCATTAGAAAAAAAATAAATTACTGTCTGACTGCATAAACTTTGTTGACAAAACATAGGTAATGAATTTGCGTAACCCAGGACTGAATAGGTGCATAGAAATTCACCTCAACCCTACTGACAAATCATCTACATACCTGCTGCGATCAGTTCTTCCAGATTTTTTCCTTCCAATTCTTTCATCACAATTCCTAGTTTTTCATCATCAACGTCAATTCCGACGCTGCTCAGAATATTTTTGATGTCACTCTTTTTTGGGGAGGTATTTCCACCAAGAGCTGCCAAAAGATACGCGGCCACGTAACGCATTCTGGAAAATAATTCAAAATTGATTTACAACTCTTCGCAATACCATCAGATTAAACAAATGAGCAACATGCGGGTACTTGTCTCTTACTACCCCACTATTAATTTTCTTGATGTTTTCTTTGGTTATGTTTATCTTAGGTTAGGTCAACAGACCGCAAACAATTTTAGACGTATTGTTGTACCGAATCGAATAAGTCGCCTGTTATATGGGCTAAAACTGAGGCGGATGGTCAAGTTGTCCGAATATATTGTGAAATTTCTGAATTTAGAGAACGAACTATCTTTCACATTGAATCTGGCCACAAACAAAACGTTGCACCATTTTTTACTTTGACTATAGTGAAACACCGATTTTACATTGCAAAATGCCTTCTAGCACAATTTGGAGCAGAGCAGTTGGGCTTTATGGTGCTTGACAGACGAAAACAGCCCCGGAAGCGAAGTAGAATCAGCCGGTAATTTTATCGAACAGAGACCACTTTCCATCTGTAACATCATAAGGAATGCCATTGCCAAAAGGTCAATAAGATGACTAAAAAATTCAAAATTATTTCTGATGCAACTAAGGTATAGTTGTCTTCAAAGTCAATTTGATGCACTATAAATGTGATTTGGCAAACATAGGACAGTAGGATATCAACTTGTTCAGTTGAGATTTTACTCAAAAACGCTAATTCGAAGCCACTTCAGATATTTATAAAAACATCACAATATTCAGTCGAAAGATGGTGATATTTATTTTCATCATAAGTGGCAAAACGAATCACACAGAGCTGTCACTTCTGTGCAGTTTCAGAGTATGCTATAGCTCCTTCTGCCAAGCTGCCTCAATCAGTCAATACGGATTTCTGTTAACCAGCTGTTGCAGTGATGGAGGTTTAGAGAAGTGTTTTTGGCAATCACTACAACAGGACACCATTCTCGATCGTTGAATAAAAACTCTTACCTCCGGAAACAGTGTTTAATGGTGTCGCAGTTTGAAAGTTCGCATGGCTGTTGGTGGCATGGCTGTATGACAAGCACCGTTTCAGAGTAAAATATTTGCTTTGGAAGCTAACTTCAACGCGACAACGAGGCAAGTATCATCTTTAACGCATTCAAACATTAAATCACACAATTCCTACGTAAAATAACCATATTTACTCACTTTAAGTCTGCTTAGACACGAAACGAAAACGCACGTACGAGTAGAAATTCACAGAAAGGGGAGATTAGCCAGAAAAAGATATCACGTGTATAATTTTTCGACTCTTTAGCGAACCCGCGTGGCCAATAGAGAAATGTGGGAAAATGAGGGGTATCAATGTGCGATAGTTGGGGTGGTTTACGATTTTCATATTTATCCCGGGGAGAAGAAAGCCGATAGACGGCTCAATTATATAGCATAGACGGCTTAATTATATAGCATAGACGGCCTTCCGTTCAGTTATCGTTCCATGTTGAGTATGGGATTAGTTAACCGCTAATGCAAATCTACTCGGTCTAATAGGATTCACATACGACAAAAGAACCCTATACCCTAATCCATGATTTGTGCATAGACTGCTATGGAACATCCAATCCATTTACCAAGCTTGTTTTTTAGTAAAAAAAAATTGTTACTGTGTTATTTTTGCAATATAATTGAAGTAGGTCCACAACATCACCATTTTTCGTCAGCGAGTGTTCTTTAATCCATATATCTGTATAGGAAAAGCACATACACGTCTCACATTTTAATTTGAATTTATAAGATATTGCCCGATGTCACATCGTGTTTTTGTTTTATTGCGTTTTGCCTGTTTTTGGGGGACGGGCACGTACTTGTACGTATTTAACTTTTTTATTAAGTTATGCCCGTCCTCCAGGTCCTCTGTATTTTGTTTGTCCCTTTGTTGTTGTTTTGTGTTTTGTTTGTATCAGAGTGACCGAATAAAATTGATTGATTGATTGATACTTATCCCGGGGGAAAGGAAAACCGATAATACCGTTTATTCATATGACGAACCATGGCTTCTTGTCCAGTGCATGTCGGGTTAAAGGTTAGATAGCAGACGGTTATTTGTTTTCAGGCACATGGACTTAATGGTAGAGGAAGCCGTAACCGACCAGCGGTTAAGTGAACAATCCTACGACGAAGAGTCCAGTTATCCTCTCGCACATAATTTACCCCGCATGGGATTCGAAACCTGCGAACCCATGCAGGGTAATCAGAGGTGCGGTGGCGGGCGTATTCCTAACACTTAGGTTAGCACGATGCGCCAAACCGTCGTAACGATTTGACATCTTATTTTTATCCTGAGAAAGGTAAGATGAGACGACCCAATTATGCGGAAAATCGAAGTTTTTTTTTATTTACCAGGTTTAGAAAATAATATTTGCTGACAATACGTCCAGATGTATGAACTGGGATGTTGGAAAACTCGATCGATCAGTGTTTACGGGAATCGGAAAGCTAGCATATCCTTCTCTCTCAAAACCCAATCATAAACAAATACAGTAATCGAATTTGCAAACCAATAAAGGTAATCATGAAACAATCTAGGACAAGCGTATTGAAAGTACCGTATATATTATTTGTTACGAGTGGCTTTGTAACGGAAGACTGAAGGAATGAAACTCTGGCTAGGCGAACCAATTAGGATATATATCATTGGCTGAACAAACCGTATGTACTCAAAAAGTGAACGATGCACTTTGTATGCAAAGAAAAAGAGAGACTTGTTCACGGTTTCTATGATTTATCGTTGAGGTAATTTGAATATTATTGCAAAAACATATATATAATTTAGCGCTAAGATACTGATGCATTGCAATAATCTTACATTAAAACTGTAAACGATAACATTCTCACGGATAAGGCTCTGCCTACGGAGTCGTTCTCCACCCTGATATCAGTAGCATCTATCTTACTGTAGAACTATGAGTCTGAGTTCCTGACACATGTGACATACTGGTTGATTAAGCGAGTGCGATGAAGGTCGTCAAAAATGTTGTGCCTCGTTCTATTTTACACATCTTTCGATTAATAAAGTATTTTCCCTGGCTGATAACGTTACGAACGGCCCAAGAGTTCGACATACAAATTTTATTTTTATATTTAGCTCTTAAAACAGATACAGTAACTCATCAACAACACATCATTCAAATTCAATGATAATAATATTAATAACCTTACTTAGTACAGAGAAAATGCATAGAACGATAAATAATAAAATTTGAACAATATTTAGTTTCTTCCAAATTAATATAGTCACGGGTAAATATGTTTTTTCTCTCTCCCTCTTGTCTTTTTAAAGATTCTGTCGTTTTATACGAAAGAGTCATGTTTTTCACTAATAAGCTGGAAAATAAATACGGGAAGGAATGCTCAGTATCAACTCACATTGAAATACTAATAACATAGATCAATCTTCTCTTAGCATATCAGTGGTGCCTGCAACACTTTTAGAAAAAACTTCTCCACTTTAATATGCATTCAGGTCCTTGTTATAGGCAAGCATACACTAAAATTAAAAATGACTGAAAAAGTGACTGAAATTGTATATATTCTAACGGCAACAAATATTTGAATGAAAAAGCGGATAAGCGGAACCGAACAGGTATTGTTGAAAAATTATTCATTCCTACGTATATTAGTAAATAGTGGCTGCTTCTTTACAGTAATTTTTTATATATATTAAAATCTCGATGAAATATTCGCTCGGAGAAACAAACAAATCGAGACCTGATAACAGTCGAATTTCGTAATAATCGTTAGGACGATTAAATCATTAAAAAAGTATAACAATATATTGGTTGTTTAAAACTTAAAAATGATTAGAATACCACCTTTCGAAAATAAACATAAATATTGTTTTGTTTTCATAACCTCTTACTTGATTTATATTCATTTTACCATAACATTCTGGAAATTCTAGATTTCCACTTTTACCGAACATCTTAACACTTAAATATTCTGCTAGAATATTGCAAATATTACACACGGAATAAATAAATGAACGAAATAAAAAATAGAAAAACAGTTCAAACAATCTGCTATTGGATATTTCATAATTGAGTGGATAAAGGCATACACATTTCAAGAAACTTTAGTGTAAAATTGTGTCTTGTATGCGTACGGTCAATGCCGCATTCATATCAATATACAATTTTAAAATATAATAACGAATTATCAACGTAAACGTAATAGAAGTAAAAGAAACGAAATAAAAAAATCACCGCATAACATCCCTGCATATTCAAGGGAAAACCCGATCTAAAAAGCCTTTATGGTGAAAATTATATTACTAGATAGAAATGAGTAATCACATAATGAATTTAATTTAGGTATTCAATTTCAATAATTCAATTTAGGTATTTTATTTTACCCTATCTCAGTTGCTTATCGAAGTTTTATCTGGTCTAATCTATTTCTTTTATTGTGTGTGTGTGTCTATTTTTGGAATCAGTCCACCTATGTTTCTTTTTTAAATAATTTTCGTTCCAATTAAAGTGTTATTCTGTAGGCATTATTGCTCATTTGCAATCTTCCTAGTATAAAGAACGGTAGTATCTGTGAATCATTACAGGATCGGTCCGCAATATTTATCTGAAGTACATAAGACATTGTTTCCGACACACATATCGAAAACTGACTTGAAGTTCGATGGCTTATGCTAAGTAATAAACAATCGACGCAGATTTAAAACTGAAGTCTATAGCTGGATTCTTCGCGATTCCATTTGAAGTTTAGAAGCATATATAATTATTTTGCGATTGCACATTGAAGAAAGCTTTATAATATTAATATGTTTGAATGGCCTGCAGCAAGTTTTTCACAACTTGAGTAATTTACCAATTCAACATAGTTCAGTTGATTGAAGAATATAAAATCAGTTTTAAACAATCTATACTGAAAAGGAAGTCGTTTCTTTCCGGATCACCCAAAAACTTTATAATTCTTCATATACATCTTCATCAGCTGAAAAAAAATAATTTCAATTTAATTCTAAATACTGGATCTAACTAAAAAGCAAATGATGATAATATTACGTGAAAAAGGATTATGCTTTTCTTATTTATCTTTATAATACTATCTCATTCAAGCATCATTGTGGCAACGGACACATACGGGTCTAAAGTAGAAAGTAGACAGAAAGAAGGGACTATGGTACTACGTGAAAGCAAATGTTTTGGCACAATACTGGTTCTCAGTTTTTATCATACATCTTGGCACTTCGGTAGAAATATTTCAGTGGACTTTTTATCATAAAAAAATCGAAATTAGACAAAAAACCTATCGTTCGTAGGACAGTTGTTGCATCGTTCCGAGTGTTAGAAACTTGCTTGGGTTTACATACTTGACTTCCGTGGTATACCAGGTTAAAAACAAATCAATACTACTATAGCGTTGGATCTACCGTCGCTTACTCCGATGCAATCTGCAGTTCGCAACGTCACCCAGAACATGTTATCTATTTAATTAATTCCCAGAATATGTACAAATTGAGTATTTATGGTCAGATTAAATGTATAGAATTACGCATTACGTTGTTGGTGACGTCACGTTGTCTTAGCGACGCAGATTAATACAGAAGACTACAGAATAATATGAACATATTTGCCTATGAAATTTGAATGGCTCAACGTAAAATCATTGCGAAAGTGCCAATAGAAAGGTATTCATAATCTCTAGATATAGTGTTGATTGCAAATTAGTTATTTTTAAAAAAAAATTGGTATATATTTAAATCTGCTTTCACACAATATACACACTCGAATTAGTCAATTTTCAAGACATTCGAAAGCCGGCTTACAGGGTTTAAGCGGTTAAGGATGGAAAATGCAACTGTATGCCTCGAGCTTAAGTTAGAGTTGTAGTCACGCTATGGTGTGGTGGACTCCACGCTGTAGTAGCACCGACAAAACTTACCAGTCGTATCGTATATGACTTCGTCGTCATCGTCCATTGTAGGTATAATGGCAGGTACAGGTGGCCCTCCGACCATACCCGAAGGAGCGCGACTTCCAACGCCGAATTGATTACGCAATTGGTCAATATTGATTGTTACTTTGTCCGAATCGACGTATCCATCTTAAAAAGGTTTTTGAAATAAGTTTTTTTTTTGTTATTTATTTTTGGTTAAAATGGTGATTCAATGCCGTTAACGACACTCAGCTATCTAATTATATTGGTATCAATTGACTGATCATCTTTACAGGCATATGAGCCACTTTCTGAATATACAAATACATTTTTATTTACGTTGAGAATTACAGTATGATGCCACACCTGAAAATGAGGGGGGGAATTTTGGGGGGAGTGTTCACAAACGTCATGCCCACCACCTCATATAAAGTGTAATATTATTCAAGATTTTGGTCGGTTCATCAAACATAGTCACTCTTCAAATATCAGTGGATTTTTGCCTAAAGAAATAAATGGAGAGGTGTGAAATACCAAGAAACAATTCTGGTGAAGGTTTTTTTGGTGGTCGCTGCAAAGTAAGTTAGATTCTAGCCAAATGTTCAATTAATTATTTCGTATGTCATATAAAGGTGTGTCGGGGACTCATAAAAACTAGCCTAATTTGGGATGTAATATCGGCCCCTGCAGGACTCGGAGAACAATTGGTATATTAAACGGCGCTTCAGAAGTTTGTGTACCAAAATGAAGGTAACTAATTTTGTTTGCCTTCTTCACATCAAGTTGTGTAAAGAGACTGAAACCTATGGGCAGGGGATGTATTCACTTGGCTAACACAGACAGCCCCGAACTCGTAATAGAACTAAAGTAAGAAAAATCGGAACAAAATCATGTCCTAACCCTAACCTGGTACACATACTACCGGAGTACCCATTATACAGCACATCTTTCAGATATTGGAACAATTCCCTAAATTTGACACTCACAATCCCCTTGTGCGTTTCTTATCAGCCATTTTCCCTTCGAGTTGTTTTCCATCCTGATGACGTCAATATTTTCTCCCGCAGTCACTCCGAGATTTTTCCCAGAACCTTTGCAATTTACTTTCACGACGCCGTAGCCTTCGGGTACGATATCGCCTTCAATCTGTTAAGTTTTGATTGCAAGTAAGTATACGAGGACAATGCTAAAATATTTGGACATCAGAGTGTCCCGAATGTCATATAAAAACCCAATAATTAAAACCAAGTTTTAGGTGAAATATTGGGTTACACAGGAGTTAATATACAAGGATAATGCTAGAATATATAGACACAAAAGTGTACCGAATGACATATAAAAGTGTTCCCACTACTTAAAATAAAATTGTGGGTGAAATACCGGGTCACATAGAATTCAAAGGGTATTTAAAACACTAACCTTCCAATGGCTTCAAACATCCTCATGTACAAACATTTGAATTGAATCGATTCCTTATAATTAATCATAAAATTTGTCAGCTTACAGTCTAGTAATATGATTTTGTAATATATTCATACTTTGAATTTTTTCCTGATCTCCTTTTCTTTCTTTTCCGCTTCTTTTTTCTTCCTATCTTTTTCTTTTTTCTCTTTTGCATCGTTTGAAGTAATACTGGAAAGAAAAGGGGACATGCAGAAAAGTTCGGATACAGAAAAAAATGGAGTGTGTAGTGTAGTTTTGTATTTCAAGTACTGCCAGTGGGCGTAGCCTAACAATTTTTGCATATGTTAATCCTAAACCACCCCTCCCCCCCCCCCACACCCCCCCCCCCCCCCCTCCCTGACTGCGCCATCCAAATCGTTGCGACAAGAAAACGAGAGAGATAGCTTGCTCGATTTCGGGTGATTGTCTGCGCGTCTTGGATGACAGTTCGTATAGTTTGAAGGTCTTTATTACGTTACGTAGTGACGTAATTTTTGGATGACGCAGTCAGGTGGGGGTTAGGATTGACATATGCAAAAATCGTTATGCTACGTCCACTAGAAGTACCCGACGTACGGAACTACACTAGACCGCAAAGGGTACGAACATGAAAACGGGCGGACAATACGCGAGATAATACCCGTTTTCAGGAGTTGTCATTATCGTTCCCTTTGTTTTTGAAGATAATTAGTATTACTTTACCTCCCATTAGCCGATCTTCCTTTTTGTTCTTCTTTTTGTAATTTCAATTTCATATATTCGTCTAAATCTTCGTACATATCTTCACCATCGTCCTAAGATGACAAAAACATTGATGGAATACTTAATGATATAAATTTACAGAATTATATATAGTTAATTCGACGGCTATGTCTTGTAGGGTTGGAACCCAAGTTTTGAGAAAAGAAGACGCTGACATTGCATTGAAAAATGGTTCTCAACTTATACGTAGATACGTGAGATAAATTTCATAAAAGAGTACTAAATTTTTGTCCGCGTTTACAACTTGCCAAAAAAAGATTCAAATGTTGAGAGAGTAGTATCACTGGGTATATCGGGCATTTATTCAGGTCTATGTATGTCTAAGTATAGTCTATGTACAATAATATGCCGACGTATCGCATTAATTAAGTGTTCCTATATTTTTTAAAAATCTTCGTCATAATATAATGGTAATATAATCAAGTTTTATATCCAAAGTACAAAGTTCGTACTACAGAACGTAAACGATTCCTGAATTTGGAAAGTTGAATATTTGTGATCATTTACAACATTAATACAACCAAATACTTTTCAAAATAAATATCAATAAAACATGAAATATTTTAAATATTAAGAATAATACGAGAATATCGGTCAGAGACCGAAGACTTATCGATCGAAAGTTAGGGGATCCCCCAAAACAGCGCTCTTACTCCATAGTGACACCTTGTGTCCCATCACTAATTAATTAATAACTCGCTAATTATACGACATAATTTGCCCAAAATCAATAGGCTTCTGGTCCGAGATAAGATGAATGCACATGCAAAATCTGGAGCAGATTCAATCTCGCTTTCGTGAGATATCGCGTGCATCTAACAGACAAACAGACAAATACCAATCAACATACTTACCGATTAAAATCGATAAGTAATAAGCTATAATGTGGGCACACATACATACCGCTGGTATTTGTTGACTTCCAGGCATTGGGAATCCAGCTGAAATTGTACAGTAAGTTGGAAAAAAGAATATAAACCGAGTGTCAACAAGACTTAAGTACCAAGTAGTTAGGTTGTTTGCCACAAAAAGGAACTTTCCCTAAGATATATTTTAAAGTTTGGTTTTAAACTTGTTTTTGTAGTAATTAAGGTATAAATTGAATAGCTCAGCTGTCAATATGTATTTGAAGGTCTGTCAGTTTAGCTGCAAGAATCTCGCCTCGAGAATGATTATTAACCAGAGGCTAAAATGAGGGGTCAGTGCTTGTGAGTTGCTGCTGCATAATTTGAGACAGAATGGTGATTTTGAAACGATCGAATTTGTTTGCACAAGACAAATAGCACAAATACTCCTAAAATACAGCAAAGTACAGGATGGCCCGTCGGTAACCGCCATTACTGCTCAAAATTATGAACGAACTGGTGCTTTATTGTTACCTGGAGGTAGAGCGGGCGGTGGAGGTTCGTCCGGAGTTTCGTCATAAATTGCTTCTTCTTCATCATTCCAAGTAGGTCTGCGAAAATGAATAAAAGGGTGAACACTGAATTTACCCGGATGGGATTTTTGACATCGACCAATAAACCAAAAAAGTCTCAAAAATTACTTGTGCCACACTTTTCCCGCCTGTACCACACTTGTACCACTTGTTCCAGTTGTACCTTCGTTATGATAGATATAAAATCCAGGACAAATGGTTGAGGTAAGCATATGAAGTAGGATTCAAACAATTTCAATCAATATTACAAGTGGAACAATAATAATAAAATAAAAAATAATAGTGGAACAAGTGGGACATATGTGGTAGAAATTGGACTAGTGTGCTGTACGAGAAACAAATGACGGCAATGTGATGCAAATGGGACACAACTTTATTGAGACACCCGGGCAGATAACATCAAAATACTCACATTAATCCTGACGATTCTTTCTTCAATAGCGGAGGTGGATTTGAAGTAATAGGTGGCCTGAATCCGGGTGGCAGTGGTGGAGCTCCGGACATAGACAGTGGTGGTGGTAAAGGTGGACCCTGGTTTGGATCATCGTAAACTTCATCTTGTATGGGCTCCGGTGGTGGTGCAGGGAGAGGTGACGCTCTCATATCTGTAATTTGTAACAGTATAATATAGAAAATGTTTTAATTTGCTATTATTGGTTATTTAAGTAAGCTAAATATTGTCACGAAGTGGAGAGCTAAATTAAAGTTGTTAGTCTAATTAAACAAGTAATTAAAGCATTATTGGACATGGAGATGACCTATGGGCTAAACTTCAAGCTAAACTGTTGTTGGCTGTAGACGCTTTCACCATAAAGAATACCAGCAGTTTAAAATATTCTGTACTCAAAAACAGTTAGCCTATATATATTTAATTTTATCACAGAGTCTTGCAGGGTTCGTTTTTTCGCCCTTAGGTTTTCTTTTCTTTCATAATTCGCAGGTACACCTTTACTTGACATTCAGTAAAATTATTTTACATTTCATATGACATTCAGGTGGCCATATTAGTCATATCACTCTCGTGTCAATATATTTGAGCATTGCTCTGTTGAAGTTAACATTAAATTTCTATCCTACAGTCTCTTACTTGCATTGGGTGGAGGTAGTGGCCTCGATGGTAAATCTAGCATTGGACGAGCGGGAAGGCTTGGTCCCGAATTCGACGGAAAATCTCTTGAGCCAGTTGGTGGAGGTGGAGCCGGGAAACCAGCAGGCACAGGTGACGGCAAAGGCCGTGATGACATAGGCGGTGGTGGTAAAGGACTTGACTTTCTTTTACCTGATAAATGAGGAACATGTAAAAATTCTGCCAGAATCTAAATACTTACATAGCATGGGTTCTCTGGTATAACCCTTGGAAAATTTAAACATTTACAGCTCAAATTTTTTTTCTATAATTCCAATTTTACAAACACCTTGCGTTATTATCAATCAGCACAAATTAAAAGACATAACATATTGAAGATATCCAAAAAACGATTAAACGTCTGTTGGTATTAAATTGTGTTTATGCGATGACGCACAAATAATGTAGTTTTGACCTCAGAACCGTGATGTTCTTGACCGTGAGACGACCTTCCTTGTTCTAAGCAGAGGTTATAACACGCATTTAAAAAAAAATTCAATTTATGGGATGGAGGATACGACCCCGTAACCATTTGACTGATGGCAAAACGGGTTTTGGGAGAGGGAATTTAATTGTGGAATATAAAATCGATTGTGTTCATGTTCACATAACTACAATTGAAGCGATAGAAAATGCTAAGTCATATGAAACAAACGAAGGAATATAATATCTATAACACAACAGAATCTCGATAATACTGCAATATATTATGTGGGCAACAGCAGCATACGACCATGAATTGAAAGCGGTGATCTTTTTCTAATAGTAGGAAGGCAAAAGATGGATTTCATGCTTCAAACCCAAGGGGAAAATAAACCCCTTAATGAGAACTCCAGTTACATGGCTTCCTAGATGAGTGAGTACTTACCTTTATTGGGTAGAACGACATGAGGAGGTTTGGACGTCTTTATTGGAGGCGGTCTTGAGAATATATCTCTTGGTAAAGGAAGCTTTATTGGCGGACCGCTTGACCTTTTTGGTTTTGCATTGGTTGGAGGCGGCGGTGGCGTCGGACTGGACGGTGGAGGCTCTGAATTGAAAAAAAAGATAAATTCTAAGTATATAAGGGCAAGTAAGTATGAAAATTGTAAAATTAAAATTACTAGAACAGGGATTGGTATAATATATAGCAAAAACGATTGACGTAATTGTGAACAGCCGAATGCATTACATTCATGCTCTTGAATATGGCTGGTTATTATATTAAGTAATAGACGGGCAGTCCAGCTACAGGGTTATGTAAAATATTTATGAGTTTCATTTTGTTTAGTACGTTGGACTGTATTGGCAATGTTGGTTTAATATAATCTCTGGTAGAAACCATGTAAAATCTCCCCACGGGTAAAATAATAATGAGTATACAAAGAAGCAAATGGAAATTAAAATAATCCGACACTTCAGAAACATGGTAGAATTTGACACTATTGGTTCTGCTTGTCTATAACCTTTTTCAGAGCAAAAGTAGCATGACAAAAAAGTCAAGGATTATCACTATTAAATAGACAGCAAAATGAAGGCGCGACGACTCATATAGACATACGGTTAAGAATAAGCAGTGACAACAAAGCACATCTTCTATATGAGCAACTCAACTCAGCAACGGAAATGAGTCTGATGCGTTGTTCAAAAAATACCCATTGTAACCGACTCATGATTATTTATATCACAATAGATAAAGGTGATAGCAGATTGATTATAACCTATTAATATGAAGGTTTTGATGGATTATCGTAATGTTTCTTTCCATTATAGGATATTATTACTATACAGGCTTCCTCAAAGCAAGGTTTCGAGCTCTCAAGTTTCGCTCTATACATAGGTAAATCCAGGGTATCTACAACGATTCGCGCGAACCCGATCTGAGATGGTGTACCATTAGCGAACCCGTTCTCGTTGTAGAAAGTTATAGAGAAGACATTAACGCTCGTATTCGAGAAATAGGAATCGAAATATTTAGCTAAAATTAAAAATAAATTGCAAACGTCAAAGTTTTGGTACTCAAAATTATGTTGGTCGAAAACGAATTTTTTCAACCCTGGCGAGAATTAAAATTAATGTCGACCCGAAGTTTTTTGTGCATTGCACAACCCTTGTTTATCCTATACTTGCCTGGGTAATTCATTGAGCCAGGTGCTTTCGGTGGTGCTGGCTTTGTGTGAAGAAAAGATGACACACGGTGCTTTGGAGAGTCCGGAACTAAAAACAATTTAAAACAGTAATCAGATATGACCGCTCTGTACAAGAAAATTTATGGGCTGACAAGATAAAAAAAATTTTCAAATATTTGACATTTATTTCGCGGGAGGTTTTCAGTGTTCCCTCAAAAGAATGCACTGCACGAGCAACCATATGTGTGTTTTGAGAGCCGTTATGTTTTAAAAAACCCCAATCTTTTTCAATTCAATTTCTAACACAAGAAAATAATTTACAAGTTCACAATATTAGAGTGTCATTAGGCTAAATTCGCATTATAACCTGTTTTTATTATTACGATATAAGGGAAAATTTACAAACGACTACGAGTTGAAATAAATTTGCTTTCAACCTTAGCTCCGAAATCCGAGAAAATCAAGTTGGAAAACAAAAACGTCGGTATATTTTTAATAGACTGTTGAGAAAACGGAGCTCCCGAAGTATGTGCATCAAGATGGCGCACAACCTGAAGAACATAGTATGTGTACCAGGTTAGGGTTCAGGTTGTGCGCCTTAGTGCACATACTTCGGGAGCGCGGAAAAAACTTGTCGAATATCAAAGTTACCTGGAGGTTCATATTCTTTCCTTGCTGTTTTGGGTGATGTTGAACTCCCAAAAGAACCTGAAGATTTTTCGATGGTTGGTTTAGGCGGCATTGTGTTATAAGAAAATGATTTATTTTGGGGAGTTGCTCTCCTCGCTGCGAGAGTGTTTGAGTCTGCGAAAGAATTACGAGGGGATTCTTCCTGAGGGGGCGGTGGGGGAGGAAAATCTGTCTCAGCATTATTGCTATTTGTAAATTTATTTCTTTCGCTCCACGGGGTCGTAGGTTTAGGTTTGTTGGTAACTGGAGGTTTAAAAGGGGGTGGGCCCTTGTTGGGCAAATTAGGCCTATTTGGTGGATTTGAAGATGGCTTCCCCCAAGGTGGATTTGGCTTGCTTATGTTGGATTCCTCGTTATTCGATTCTTGGTTCCGATTAAGCCAAGATGAAGTTGGCTTAGGTGTAGAAGTAGCTCCCGGTGGTTTCCAAGATGGCGGTTTGGGCTTGTCGTTGCCAGGTTTGGTGCGTTCTGAATCAATTTTCCATTGTGGTTTGTTTTCCTGTCCTGCGTGGCTTACGTTTTCGTTTCCATATGAATTCTTCTTCCAGCCATTTTCTTGTTTAGGGGCTTCGTCGGTGATACTAGGACCCGACCCTTTACGTTTCTGTAGGTCTAGTTTCCACTGAGGAATATTTCCATCTGATGACGGCGTGTTTTCATTACTGTGAAATGGCCTGGGAGCGGTACTTGGTCTACCACCCTGCTGATTGCCTAAAAAAGGTTTAGGTTTTGGAGTCATAGGTGGTGGTTTGTTCCCAGCGCTTGGTGTAGCCACAGGAGGCCATCTTCGACCCTAAAATAAATGACATAAAAAAAAATTAAAACAAAAGTTTTACCAGAGTTAGCTTTAAGCCACTACATACGCGCTTACTCAGAATGAGTCAAAATGACGTAATTATTGACTCGACTTGGGTTGGCCAATCATCCAGGACTCAAAATGATTCAAGTCGTCTAAATCCGATTCGTCATCCTCTAACAGTCAGAAAGATTTAAATTAGTGATTGGGACTCAAAACTCAGATGACCTGGGACTCGACTTGACTCGCGACCCGGGGTTTGGAGACTTCTACCTAACACTTTGAATGTACTGAAGAATGACCGCCAGTATTCGCTGCTGTTTCCAAACTGGACACATTGAAAAGGTTAGAAGAATAAAATTCAACCTCCGGATTAAAATCTCGGATTGAATATAGTTTGCCTTCAATCACGTGACAACTAGATTCAATTATGACGTCACAAATAATACTCACTTCGCCAGTTGCACCTGATCCGGGTTTCGATTGTGAATGAGAATACATTCTGACCATATCAGATACGATCTGTTTAAATCAATAAAAAATAGATTTTTAAGGAAGTCTTCTTACATTTTTACCAGGCTCTGTGCGCCAATCAGTCATTTGTACCTATTGTTGTTTTAGGTTGAAAACTTTAAAACACTCTGGGTTACCGTACGAGTTACGTGAATCTAAGTTTATATGAATACTCTAACCTTCTGCCAGAGTATAATATCTATTACAGTCCATAACAAAGCCTGATTTTCATTTCATATGCTTACTGAAACTACTTGCGCCACAATATATATATATTTAAACCTGGAATGTGGAAACTGTAGCAAAATAGGACAAGTGTGCTAAAATGTGGCAAGTAGGGAACAACATTTTTGGGACGCAGCAAACATGGCATTTCCAATTGTAATCAAATTATCGTATCTCTGGATATGGATATAGTATGTCTTAGATTCGAAAATACAGATATCGCGATTTCTCAATTTTAAATCTTCATTTAATCCTTTCAACCTCCTCAGTTTCTAATAACGAAATAAACTTGAACTATCAACATTGGCATTTCAAGTTCAAACTATCCGCATGTATTTGTCAATATATCATTGATTACTCACAAGATCGTGTGTAAGGTACAACACGCCCAAAATCCTAACACTATTAAAAAGAATGTGTTATATATACCGTGATATTACGTTAACGTTACAATCAATTGGAAAATTGGTACAGATAAAATTATCGAACAATTGGAATGAGTCGTTTTTTAGTTTATAAAGTAAAACAGCCATTACATTTCTAGAACGTTGAATCTATACAACGAAAGATCATAGAAGTCATTTTATTTCCTCAGTTTTTAAGCTCGCTACTCAATCCCCTAACATATTCAGCAAATTTTAACTTAATTCTTCGCATCCCACCAAACAACTTCGCTTCAGATTTTTTTTATTTTTGATTCATAACGGTAGTTACAAAATCACTTTCTCATTTAAATTTATATAACCGTATTTTTTGTAATTAAGTTTCTTAAATATTATATCGCACGCTGTCTGACATTCAATTATCGGAAATGTTATTCATGCTTACTCAAATGCTATAAAGCCTGTTATATTTAGCAATACCCGGATCTATTTAAAAAATTGTTAATTGATTGAATTTACAATAATACAGTTCAAAAAACATTTCCATCAAGTATACTTACAGCAAAATTATTTTACGTTTAATTTTAACAGTGAAGTAACTACCTGATATTGATTAGCAGGCTAATATTTTCATCTTAACGTGACGTAATTGCGTAGGTGTTGTGCGTAAGACTTAAACTTACGAAAGATGAATGACGACGGAACAGAACATGTTATTCGGAAGAATACGTTACAATTTGCAAACGTTTTATATAACTAAATAATCGTAATACCAATAAATTCCGACCAAATTTATTAGATGGGCGAGGCGGTGTATATGGAGCTTGGTGACATCTGTAACCTGCCTTGCCAACATTGTTTAATTCAACGCTCTAACCCTAATATGGGTAACGTACGGCTCGCGGGCCAAATCCGGCCAGTTGAGGCCGGAAGGCCCATTCCCCCTGATTCTGCCACAACCAAATTAAAACCAATTTTGATGTTTAAGCAAAAAATATAGCTCAAGGAATTTGTTGAGATTGCGATTAAATTTAGTTTTGGCACGGTGCTTATTGTTTTCCACGTTTGCTTTTGTAACACTGTAAATATCGTTCATGAAATGTAACTTCAAGTCACACTCACATGGCCCGCCAGTCCAGGTGGGCAAAATTTTTGGTTCATTGTCCAAAAACCCTGTCCACCCTTTCAACCACTATAGGCCAACGCGCCGCGCCCACTAACTGACAGTTCTCAAAATAACCACAGTGGCGAGAAAATGCAATCGTTTGAAACGATTCGGTTCTGAAGTTTTGTATTCCTTGTCTTTATTGAGTCGCTTTCGTGCAAATATATTTTTACGGGATTTGTGACCATTTCACGCAGTTTAGTTTCTGATACTTTAAATACAAGTTGCTTGGATGACCGAAAGAAAGAGGACACAAAATGTCTTACAACTCAATTTCTAAGCTGTTTTCTTTCATTGTGTTTAGTTAAGGTTAAGTTAGGATTAGTTAGAAGGTATGGGGCGATGACCAAACCTAAACTAACTTGTCCAAAGCTTAATATAAGATAAACATAATCAAAGGAAACAGATCGTAAAATTATTAGTCGGGTAACAACAGGACACCCCAAAACTATGTTCAAAACATAAATCCCCATCATTGTTGAAAAATTTTAACGCTTCCAAACACGATATGAGCTATTTAATCGAGTTACTTCGGCTTAATGAAGCTAACTTCAAATGTTTATGTAAATAATTTTTCTGGTAGCTTTGATTTCAAAAAATAAAACTGTCTTACAAATATACAATGAATGAACTCATTTATCAGAGGTCTATTCATTTTATAAACAATCTAGTTCTTGGAATAATTTCAAGTTCATCGCGAAATATCGCCTCAATGATTAAAAATATTGACTCCTTATCGTTATTACCTAAGAAAATACAATAGATTTGAAAAGTACGTAAAATGATCAAAAATTCAAAGTAATAGCGACCAAGACGTTTAAGGATTATGAACAAAGAAAAATGTTAGTCACGCCGTGCAAAATAAAACATTCAGCCGCTTTATAATCATTTATGCGCACAGTAACAAGTTCGCCTATCGCATTAATTAAATTTACATTTATTATAATTCATTGTTAATGAAGTCACATTTGTGAATGTGTCGTGACTTGGAAAAGTCTGAAATCCTCTGTATTAATTTATGATTTTTAATTGATCTTAAAAATAAAAAAATTATCGTTAACTATTAAAAATATTCAACATATCACGACTAATTTGTCTTGCATTCCAATTGTCGGGACTTTTCGCACTCAAGTCTCAAACGTGACTGAAATTTAGTCGGAAATTCAATATTAAACTTAACAACTGGTGTCGAAAGTTGGAAACTTGAAGATTGAAAGTTTATTTCCGAGCTATTGATTAAAATTGAATCTTTAACCTAAGAGCTTTAAATGTTATTTCAATACAACAAATTTGAACTTGAATTTCTAAAACTGAAATTCCACTAATTTGACATAAAATGACACTATCAGGTCTGATATGTACCTTAATGTAAACTATATGATGAAAAAGCAATATACTTCTACGTAGGGATCCACTATGCTAATTTTAATACAATAAGCTGATGGTTTTGATGTAAATTTACTGGCATTATTACGCACTGTGGATAACGTGTTGGGCAAGGGGTGTGAGACTAAAACACGACGCCAGCATTATATGGCGGCTGAACCCACCGCAACAATTTCGGGTACTCCCGTAGTGTATGTACAAGGCCATAATTGTATTCCGATTTTCCTTATTTTAGTTCTAAAACGAGTTCGGGGACTGTCTGTGTTAGCCAAGTAGATATACCCCCTGCCTATAAGTTTCAGTCCGTTTACACAACTTGATGTAAAGTAGGCGAACAAAATTAGTTACCTCCATATTGGTATACACACACTTCTGGAGCGCCCAATTTCATACCAAAAATATCAAATTTTAAAAGGCCTCCCTATTTCGTATTCTTGTAGAGTTAGATGCACACCAGCGATTGATCAAAATCGTTTTTGTTATAACCATTCTTTGCGTCATAGCTCGTCAGAATATAAAGATCTCTCAAACAATTATAAATCTAACAATTATCAAAATCTGATCTATGTCAGATAATTAGAAAACAAGCTCCCTACAAAAAACGACCGATCCTACTAACAATACATATAACAATCACTCCTGTCCTTTTTATTGACGCATTATCGACGTCTGTATGTCATGGTATTGCCATATCACATTTGGTATACTGATCTTATATGCCTATATTTAAACATCTAGAACCGGTATAATACGACAAAAAAAATTCACTATTGCTAAACTTCCAAGATAACTAGCTATAAAAGCCAATTAAACAAATCACAAATTCACCACAAAAAAACAAACAAAGTCAATTCACATTCTTCGTATTCACTTATCTCAGCTAAATAATCACTAAGCTATTCAAACTACTGCACCGACTGGCTGTAAGAACGCGGAAGCGATGTCGCATATTGTTTCGAACGAGTCATACAGCCTATTTTAATATAGCAAGCAGCAACTAACGATACAAGGTAAAAATTTAACGTCTAGCAAGTTACACACGGTTATGACCACGTAATGCATTTGCCTGTAATGGACGATGTCTTAGTAATCATCATTTGAACAGCTGAAGTACAATGCGGGCATATGCGATAATTTTAACATAATTTTCCAGTCTATATTCTCATTATACAGCCGTTTTCTTGAAGTATTGCAATGAGGTATTTTCGCTTTAAAAATAGCCGAAACTAACATATAGGCTTGTATTCCTATAAAAAAATCATGTAGACCTTAATAAACGCACAGATACTCCTGAAGTATGTGAACCAAGATGGCGGACACCGGAACGTATATAATTTTATGCCAATTTTCCTTATTTTAGTTTTATTACGAGATCGGGGACTAGCCAAGTGGCTCCCGTAGTATTTGTACCTGAAATTATGGCCTAACCCTAACCAGGTACACACACTACGTTCCAGTGTCCGCCATCTTGGTCCACATACTTCGGGAGTGCCAACGCACATAATGCAATTGTTATACTTTGCAAGGTAAGTGGCGTACCTTTATTGTAATAATATAATAAATCCCGAGTTTTGATAATTTTCAACATAACAATATCTATTATCGTAGCGCAAACACTAGTGCACCAATTTTCTACAGAAAATCTATTTATACCGAGGTTGGGTTTGTTTTATTTAGATAATAATTAATAAACGCTGTTGATAATCCGTAAAATCAACATAAAATACTTCGTAATCGTATTAATATAAAACCAAGAATAACGATACAATGCAGTTAAACACTTCGGGCTTTTTTAACACTATTCCAATTCCCCGTTGACTCAAGAGGTCTTGTCCCTTTCGCTTCTTGCG